CAAAATTAGGTGCATGAAGGAAGGTGATCGTTTGCCATGATTGTGCATGCAAATGTAATATCTGTATTCACTGTGGCTGCTTCCAAGACACAGCTGTGACCTTTTTACTGCACAGCATTATCAAGCCATAATAGGTGGTATAGATAAATCAATCAACTCTTACCTCAGAGGACAGTGCTGCTTCCAGTCACAAGCACACTTGGAGAAAATGCGTGCTTGTATTCTCCATCAAAGACCAAACCAATAAAAGAAACAATTTATTTTGCAAGAGGAAGAAGGTCTAAGAGGTAGAAAAACTGTGTAAGGCAAGAGGTCAGGCCCAAAAGTGTCTTCCTGTACTTGATGGAGGCAGATTAGACAGCCCTCTCACTGCCTTTAAGAAGGAAGATATAGTGGTGTCTGGGGGCAGTATCTTAGCATTCAGGGTCAGACTCAGCCTAGTGTGATGTGGTAGTGTCACTCATCAGCAACCTATAGTAAGATGTGAATGCCCCAAAGGTAAGGCCAGGGAACATCTGTCTCCAGGTGCTAAGGTATATCTGCTAAACTCATAACCTATGATACTTTGAGAGAACTTGTTGATCTGCTCATATCCTGATATAGACTCTGACCCTCTTCACAGAATCAGAGTTGATGGGACTGGGCAGAAACTCTGGAGATTTCTAATCCAACCGCCTGTGCTTAGAGCAGTGTCATCCAGTACAGGTGGCTCAGAACTGTGTCCAGTTTGACTATCTCCAAGGATGGAGACTCTACAACCACTCTGGGAAACCTGTTCCAGTGTTTAATCACCCATAGAATAAAAAACAGTTTCTTCATATGTTTAAATGGAATTTCCCATATTTCAGTTTGTGCCCACTGCATCTCATTTTTCTGGAAACTTCTGAGAGAACTGTGGCTCAACCTTCTTCACTTCCCCATCAGGTATTTATCCATACTGATAAGGTACATGGGAACCTTCTCTTGTCTAGGCTGAACAGTCCCAGCTCTGCTTCTCTTATGACAGGTATTCCAGTCAGTTAATTCACAGACCATGTCTGGGGTCTCTCTCGTACTAGGGAGCCCAGCACTTTACCCAATATTCCAGATGTGTCTCACCAGTGTTAGGAGGAAGGATCACCTTCCTGGGCCTGCTGGTGGTGCTCTTTGTAATGCAGTCAAGGATACAGCTGGCTTTTCTTGCCACAAGGACACACTGCTGGCTCATATTTAACTTGCTGCCTACCAGGACGCTCTGTAAAGCTGCTCTCCAGCCAGTCAGGCCCCAGTCATTTCTGGTGCATGGGATTATTCCTCCCCAGGAGCAGAATTTGACATCTTCCTGTACTGAACTTGTTGAGGTTCCTGCAGGCCATTTCTCCAGCCCAGGTCATTCAGAACAATGACATGGTCCTGTGGTGTTTCAGCCACTCATCCCAGTTTTGTATCATCTGCTAGCACTCTACCCATCATCCAGTTCAGTAATTGAGATGTTACACAATATTGTCCCCTGGGGTAGACAACTATTAAGTCACCTCTGGCTGGACTTCATGTCACTGCTCCCAACACTACAACCTCAGCAGTTCTGCCAGCTTTCAGTCCACCTGGCTCTACCTTTATTTAGCCCATATTTCATCAGCTCCTCTGTGAGAATGAGACACTGCCAGAGGGATTAGTGAAGATAAAGATCCAGAAGCAGATGGGCAAGAAGTTCCACTCATCCACCAAGCCAGTCACATCCTTGTAGAAGGTCAACAGGTGGGTCAGACATGACTCTCCCTTTGTAAATCCATGCTGACTAGTCCAAATCACCTTTGTGTCCTTGAGATGCTTGGAAATTGTTTCCAAGATTATTTGCTCCACCCTTCCCATCAGTGTATTGTTCCCTTGATTGTCTTTCTTGTCATCCTTGAAGACAGAATGTATCTCCAGTCTGTTTAAATGTTCCAATCCCCCTTTCTTGTGCCAGATTTTCTCACTGGTTTCCACTGTAGATCAAGGCAAAGAAGGCACTGAATACTTAGATCTTATGATGTTTTTGTACTGTGTTGCCTGCCTTATTCAGTAATGTGTACGTATTTTCCTGATTTCTCTTTTTCTGCTAATACACTCAACAGCAGCCCTTCTTCCTGCCCTTTACAACCCTTGCTGGACTGAATTCCAAGTGAGCTTTGGCATTCCTAACCCCATCTGTGCATACTCATGTAATTTTTCTATTTTCCTCCCCGGTGATTTCCCCTTTATTGTGCTTCTCATAGACTTCCTATTCATGCCTGAGTTACATCTGGAACTCCTTGTTTATCCACGCAGGCCTCATGCTGCCTTTGCTTGATTTCCTGCTAGATGGGATGAACTGTTCCTCAGTTTGGAGGAGATGAACCTTGAATATCAACCCACTTTCCTGGACCTCATTGCTTTCCAGGACTGCATCCCATAGAATTCTTTCAAACATAAAAATGACATGAAAAGTCAAAGTCTCCTTTCTTCAAGTCCAGAGTTGGGACCCTGCTCCATCCTCTCCAGATTCTGAACCCCACCACATCATTAGGGGCAAGGCTGCCCCTGACCTTCACATCCCTGAGCAATCTTTCCTTGTTTGTACCTATGAAGTCCAGCAGAGATCCTCTCCTTGTCAGCTCCTTGTTCTGGCAGAGATACTGCAATCCTCTTAGACCTCCAAACCAGATCTGTCCCTGGAAGTCATGGCTAAAGGCTAATGCTTTCCCAGGACTGTGGAAGAATGTTGACCTTGTTCAAGACACGGCATGCTGTTCATGTGGTATTTGCGTTTCCTGTAGACAAAAAAAAAAAAAATTACTGAAGCATTCTTTCTTACACTTGTGTAGTATAAATAAATATTTTTGGATGCAGGAAGCTAACCTTTCTCTAACCCCTGAGAGTTGGTGTCCAAACTTGTTTAAGCTTCCTGGAGTAATCAGAAAGGCAAACAAGCTGATGGAGGAACTTTATTCATTGATCTATCTGCATTCCTGCCAAACTCTGCATTTTAACTAATTATGTACTTTAGATCAGCAGATTTATACAGTTCACACTTCATTATCCAACAAGCAGAGAATACTCTGCTTGTGATCTGAAGTAATGCAGATCGTTCTGCAAAATCCAGATTATTCCTGGGTGGATCTTAAATAGTTAAATTGCAGTGAAAGTTAATCAGTGAAGATTTCTGTTAGCAACATAAATAGTCCTTTGTTTGTAAGTTGGCATGGAAAGAGGGGATGGCAGATAGTGTTTCCATCTTCTGTCTTGGATCTGGTCTGACTGACATACTGAGGAGCAATGAGCATTTGAGTGCTTTCACAGAATCACAAGGTTGGAAGAGACCTTTAAGATCATTGAGTCCAACCCATGTCCTAACACCTCAACTCAATCATTGCACCAGTGCCACATCCAGTCTTTTTTAAACACATCCAGGGATGGTGACTCTACCACCTCCCCAGGCAGACCATTCCAGTACTTTATCACTCCTTCCATAAAAATCTTTTTCCTAATATCCAACCTATATTTCCCTTGATGCAGCTTTAGACTGTGGCTTCTTGTTCTGCCAGTTGCCGCCTGGAGAAAGAGACCAACCCCACCTGACTACAGCCACCTCTCATGGTGTTGTAGAGAGTTGATAATGTCACCTCTGAGTCTCCTTTTCTCCAGACTAAACAACCCCAGCTCCCTCAGCCTTTCCTCACAGGGTTTGTGTTCCAAGCCCCTCACCAGCCTCGTTGCCTCTTCTGGACACACTCAAGTGTCTCAATGTCCTTCCTGAACTGAGGGGCCAGAACTGGACACAGCACTCCAGGTGTGACCTCACCAGTGCTGACTGATCCAGGCCAGGAGCCATTGGCCTTCTTGGCCACCAGGGCACAGGGCTGGCTCATGTCCAGCCAGCTGTCACCTGTACCCCCATGTCCCTTTCTGCCTGGGCACTGTCCAGCCACACCATCCCCAGCCTGTAGCACTGCAGGGGGTTATTGTGGACCAAATGCAGGACTCAGCACTTGGGCTTGTTAAATGTCATCTTATTGGACTCTTCCCATCCATCCAACCATTCCAGGTCTCTCTGCAGAGCCCTCCTCCCTTCCAACAGATCGACACATGCTCCCAGCTCTTCACATTTTGAAAGCACAGATCAGGACTAGATAAGTGACAAAAAGTTGGAAAAGCCAACATATGTAATTCCAACACTGCTTTGGGGTAGACACTGGATCACAGAGGACTCAAGTTGTCAAATCCTCGCAAAACAAACATGGTCTAGTCCTGAAACTAACTGATATTCACCCTCCAGCTTTCAAAGTGGCTGTTTGCCAAGGTCAGAAACACACATTTTCCATCTGGCCAAGGATATTTCATTGTGTTCTTCCTTTATATCAGTTTGTGGGAACTGTTACAAGCAAAATATGAAATATGAGCAGTGAATGCATCTTTTGCAATAACATGAATGAAAAATAAGGCAAAACCAAGCAATGTAAATTGCTTTCTCTTTATGCCTTAATTTCTTCATTATTCATTGTTTTACTTCTGGGGTTTGGAGTGTGTGTTATAAGTGGAATATCCAAACTATTATCTATTTTAGTTTGTTCTCACCATGGACACTGTGAAAATTCTTTAAAAAGAAAGTCCCATATCTTGAAAACAATCTGCAAAATAAATCTTGGTTCTTAGGTAAGAAATTGTACCAGCAAAAAGAGTGACTGGACCATTCTCAGAGCAGTACTATTTGATGTCAAGTGTGGTTAAATGACATCAAGTGGTTAAATGCCAGAGGTGATGTACTTTAGAGAAAAATAGGTGAAACCAACATAGCTTAGTGGTAGAGTGAGGATGGAAAATGCAACCCTGAGGAGAGCCATTCCAGAAAGAAAGCCAGCATAGGGGGTGTGAGCTGGTTACTCAAGTGACTGCATTGCTTTACCTCCACAGAGCTGTAAGCATCCACATGGGGACGTGGGACATGGTGCCTTCCCTTCCTCCAAACCAATCACTTTTTTTGGCTGCTTTTCTCTTTACAGGAACCCAGACCTCTGTATAACAAAAGATGCCAGTTTTATTCCAGTGGGATAGGATTCCTGTATGATGCCTACCAGACTGAGGTAAACAAACGCGCCTCATCATGTGTTCATTTCTGCTGTGCTGGGGAGGAGGGAGGGAGATGTTTGAGAGCATGTCTGTGCACATAGATCATGGGTAGATAGAAACCCTACTGTTTTTCTCCCACAAGTGACTCCCTGCTTGACCAGGCCTCTGATGATTCCAAATCACTACAGTCAGTGAGGTTTTGAGTCATCATCAGTGTTTGTATCCAGTACATTACTCTGGGACAGGAATTTTTCCTAGTCCATCTATGCTGTAGAGTTACTGTCTGGAATGTGTTTGTCACATTGGCATCTTCCTCTAAGAAGGCTTTTGTAGACTCCAAGTGGAATAAGAAATATCTAAATTAATCCATTTGTTCATTCAGAAGACTTCAAATCTCTGTATTTATCCAGCACAGGCCAAGAACATCAGTAGTTTGAATGAAACATTTTTATTATCTTAATGACATTGTCATGGTCAGAAAAGTGGCCATATCCAAATGAACTTCCTAAGAAGTTCAGATTTTGTTTCTTTTCCTATTTTATTATTGTGGTAAATTGGTGGGAGAGAATAGAAAAGCAAAATGGAGAGCAGCTAAACAGTGATATAACTTTGAAGAAGGCAGTTGTTCTTCATCACTCTTCCTGCCATGGCTAAGAAAAGGTGTATGGGGAATGTTACCACTAATATTTCTAGAAAGCTTAGTAAACTATACTACCAAATTTAGCTGCTCCTTAAATCTTGCTGCTAGGGCATCCTGTTGTTGATTCCAGAAAATGTATGACAAAAATATTTCACTGATCTCCTCATGTAAAGACTGACCCAGACAAACCTCTGCAGAGTGACAACACCCTTTCCTGTAAGACTTACTCCTTCCTCTTCTAAAGTGTGTATGCACACTCAGACATGGCCTGAGAAATGCTTCTGACTCCTGTAATAAGCATGTAGTTGGCGTCACACTGACCACAACTCCTTGCAGGTGACCCCAGCCTCAGGCTTCTGGTCAGACAGTTTTCCACAGCTCTGTTGATTCTGAGAATGTCTAAACTTGGGCACCCAGAACTCCTTCCTCTATTCTGGAAAAAAACCAAACCACATATCTTTTAAAAGTGTAGATAGTTTCTAGTAACATTCTTGTCTGGTTGTTCATTGATTTAGAGTTAGGGTATGCTAATTCAGAGTTAAGGATCTGTGGCATTTATACTTGGATTTTGCTTTTCCAAAGGTAGCCAGCTAGTGAGCAGGAGACATGCTCTGCATGTCAGGCAAACACTTAACTAGGAAAGCAGATTATTTACTGTCTGCAAGTTTCTTTTTGATTGACATCTCTCACTTGTAAGTGGTCTCTGGCTCATTTGGTTTGCCTATTTCAGTTGTCTTTGCTCAAAGCAGAAAGATTTTTATTTTCTTGTAATTACCATGAGAGGAGAACATATTCTTCATTGGTGCCTTGGAGATAAACAATCACAAATGTCCAGGACATGAAAAAAGCTGTGTCTGGTCACTGAAATGAAATAATAGGTCTTGACATGCAGAATACCTACAAATGGCCTGTTTCCACCACCCTTGCTCACACCACACACTGTTTTGTTTATTTTGGTTTATTCACTGTTCTCCTAAAAAGGAGTGTCTTGTTCTATGCATGTTTTAAAAATGCAGTGATAAAAATAGATAACTACTGCAACTTCCTTGGCCAAGAATATGTGTCTTGCAGTGTGGAAGCAGCTAAGAACATGTTTAAGATCATGCTAATCTCCCTGTTTTGCACTTCTAGCCTTCTCCAGTAAAACAGACAGACAGACAGACTGGCCTTGTTATTGTTTGGAGAGGGAAAACCTACTTTTATTTCCTAGTGGTCCCCAAATCATGCATCAGAACAAACCACGTTTTAACCGCCCATTCCATCTCATAAAGCCCTCCTATCCCAGTCATGCGTGTGTAATGGGAAAAGGTAGGTCCTAGGCCATTTTCACCACATACAGGAGGTCAAGTCTGACAATACACTGAATGCAAAAGCATAGGGCATCCCACAAAATGGCTGAGGTGGCACACTGTTCCAGGATTGTTTTTCAGCCTGCTTTGGGATCATCCAGGTGGGATGGTTCAGTCACTGCCTTGATTAAGCTGATGCAGTGACAGTACATGCTCCTCTTCTGCAGTAAACTGCAGCTCAGGCTGACAGCTGCAGCTGAATGTGACTTCAGGCCAACAAAGCCCTTAGGTTACACTACAGTAAGTTCAGACACAATGGAGCAATGGTGATGGAACAAGGCCCTGTCCTTGTGACAAGTGGGATGTGTCTGTATCAAATTGTGAGCTCCATTTCCAGACTGCAACCTAGACTGAGACTGTCCTTTCATAACCTACCATTTCAGGATAGAAGAGCTGATTTGTATGAGATACTAACCACAGGTACAGCCTTGTCCTGAGCAGCAAAGCAATCCCAAGGAATCATTTTAATCTCCTTCTGACTTTAGTTTTGTCACCCATCATCCACTGCTTGATCAAATCCTGCTAAGGACAAGTGTGACAAGTAAGAGACCAGTTGTGAGATGAACTTCCTCTGTTGCTGAGTGTGTGTGTTTAAGGCTTTCCTTTTTGCTGGAAACAAGCACGTGAGGAATACAGACTCATCAACAGTGACAGTTTTCATACTAAAATGATACACAAATACAGAACTTAGGAAGTGAGAAACATCTGATTTAACAGCTCTTGTGGACACTATTCCATACAGTAACACGTTTGTGGCTCAGCCAGAGCTGTCTGATAAACTGATAAATCAAAAGCAGGCATGTATTCCTAAACATGCTCCTACTTATTCATTATGAAGGGTTTTCCATTCAATAATACATTTTAATTGCATTTTGTGAACAAAATAGTTCTCAGTGGTTACGTTGTTTTGGTTTTTTTTCTATCAAATAAAAGCTATGGAAAGAATGTATTTTCTGGCTGCTAGCTTTTAAAACCTGACAGCTCTCCAGGATTTCAAAGTCAATAATCTAAAACTCTCAGGAAAAAAAAAAAAAAGCCTTACATATTAAATATTTCAATTGGTCTGTAGTGCCAAATAGAAGTGATTAATGCTTACCACACTTAAGGAGTCATTAAAATGATTTTGTGTCTGGATGGAGAGTGGCTTACATGTGCCTGCCTTTATTGTTCTAACATCTGTCCATCCCTGCAATTTCTCCTCACATAAATAAACCTTTTCAGTTTTGTATTCAAGAGCCTGCAATAAATGGTACTAATTTTCTGGAGTGCTTGGATCTTTTCTGAGTTATTCTGTTTGTGGGTTTGAAGATTGTTCTCGCTGTTGTTCATAATTATTTCCTTCTTCAGGAGGGTTTCACTGAAAGGGGAGAGCTCCCATTTATTGGGAGCTGTTCAGATAAATTGGCTCCCTTGCCATTTCCCCACTATAACAGATTGGTTCTCTTATCCACTTCAGTGCTTGCTGTAGTGTAGTGTATTTCTCCAGACCCGTGGTCAGTTCATCACAGATGTAGAGATCTGAGGCTCATGACTGCACACTCTGGGTCTCAGCAGAATAGCACCAGGCAGTGCAGCAAAGTGCTTGAAAACTCTGGCAGCCCTGGCTGCGGGCTGGTGCTGGGAGCTCTGGGCTTCACAGTGCAAATACCCTCACACTCAGGGGCTGTTGTCCTGGCTAAAACTCCTGTGAGCTCAGGGATGTCCTTCTGGCTTCCAGTCATGAGTTTTGGAACCTCAGGATCTTTCTGCACAGCAGGTAATACAACTTGACAATGTTGTAGTAGCTGTTTTTTGGTTTTTTTTGTGGTCAGTACAGTACAATGATTCACACAACATTGAAACATTGAGCATAAAAGTAATTCTGCTTTTTTGGCAGGTGACATGTCATACCTTAAACAGCAAGTGCCAGCTGAAAGTGAAGAGTAACACATGCTATTGCTGTGATCTGTACAACTGTGAGAAGTAAGTACCTGTGTGCATTCCATGGCCTCCGAGAAATTCTTGACTGGTTGTCCTTATTCATAAATGGTAGGGCCTGAAGAAGTAACACAAGGAGCTTGTATGCTGAGAAATCCAGTTCCTCTGCAATTGAAGTCCTGATGCCAGCATGAAGTAGGTCAAGAGTTGTTCATTAGTGTGCTGTGTGATCAAAACTGATCACTCAGTTACATTCCTGTTCAGATATATGTTGGTATGGCAATGCATCTTCCCATTAGATTTACTGAATCTTCTGCTGGGCTCACCCTTTGCACATCTCACTGTTATAGAATGACAGAATGGTGTTGGTTGGAAGGGTCTTCCAAGACCATCTAGTTCAATCTCCCCTGCCATGGGCTGGGACACCTTCCACTGGACCAGGCTGCTCAGAGCCTCATCCAGTCTGGCCTTCAACACTTCCACTAATAGCACATCCACAAGTTCTCTGGGCAATCTGTTCCAGTGTCTCACCATCCTCACAGTGAGGAATCTCTTCCTAATATCTTAATCTTCCCTGTTTTGTTTAAAACCATTTTCCCTTGTCTTATCTCCACCTGCCCTTGTATATCATCTTACCATGCACTCTCATGCAACCTCTGCAACCACTACAGTTCAGCCATAGACACTTTTCCTTCTTTCCCCTCTGTGTATTTCTCATCTTTCTTCCTCCCTACATCTATCTGATTTTGGTTTTGCCTCCTCTTCACATGCTAGCAGCCCTGAATAACCCCAGTCCTCTGTAAGACTTGGCTAGTGTGATGTCAGACATAAACACTTTAGGCATGGGGCAACAAGGTGGGAACAATCAAACTTCTATAAAAGGCTTTTGCATGAAAAAGTAACTCTTAGATAGATGATATCTCAGCTAGAGAAGTAAAATGACATTTGAGACTAGAGGGAAGTGATTTATGCATGCATATTTCTTATGTAGATGGGAGACACAAATTGAATGAAGATTTATGGAGTGGATTAAAATCCTCTGTAGAGTCTTTTGCTTAAGTAAGAAATGTTAAATCTGTACATGATATAGGTATACAAAACAGGTGGGAAAGGTAGAGAATGCTCAACTTTGGTACCTTTTCTATGACAGACAGATGATGGAACATCATATTTGCAATGCAGTATGTATATATTGAGAGTGTTTCCTTCCGTGGTACGCTGCTCATGCCTGCATGTTAACACTGAACCAAACAGCCCAAATCAACACAGAAAAGTGCAAGGGTGTTAAAGGGGTGAAACTATTTGAAGTTGTCAAAAAAAGTGACTGAAACTGTTGCTTAAAGTATAAAGTAACCACAAGGAGAGATGAGGCATATTTTCCCTTTCAGATGGAGATCCTCAGTGCCATTTTTCTAAGACATTGAGTTTGTCTGAAACACCTGGGACTGATCACTGCTATGACATTATTCAATGATATAATTAAATGTGTGTGTTCTACTATTGTCAACATTCTACAGTGGACAGCAAGATCTTATGCCACTAGCATAGACAAATCCAGGGTAAATAAGCAGTCACACTTCTCAGGAGACTTGGCAATTCCAGTTCACAGGATGGCTAGAGAGAAGTAGGAGGAGGCACAGGCCTCAAAAGTGATTTTTTTTATCAGCCATGGAATAGACTGATATGAAGGCAGGGTTGCAAATCCGATTTTCTCAGCCTTATGGCAGCTGAAGCTGTAGATGTATTTAGTTAAGATGGGCTCATAGCAGGGCCCAGGTGAACTCAACAGTAGTGGTTCTTCAGTGCCAGAGCTATGAGCTAAAGCCATTGACTGGATATTTCCAGAAGTTACTGTGCCTGGCTTGGTTCTTCCCAGAAATGTTGTGGATTGCTCTGCAGAGCTTTCCCTAACCACACATGCACATGTACTGTGGATGGAGGAACAGAAGAGTGAACACAAACTGCTCACTTCTGGTTTCCACCATAATCTGATGGCAATTTGGCAATTTCCTAACAGTGGAAAAACAGGCTTGGCATTTAAAAAATTTTTTCTAACTCAAATAGCTGCCCTAGGAGCTCATTAGTGGTCTCAAATTAAGGCAGGTACTGGAAAGAATTGCAGGAACCTGTGGTTTCAAATTTGGCAGTAGGATATTTCTGGCTTTTGGCAAGGCACTGAGGTGTAACTTCACCACATGCCTGATCTACAATAACCAATGTGGTGTAGAAATATGAACAAAGATTTCTGGATAGTGCAATCCTGAGTGTAAAGACATCTTTATACTGTACTGTGTTGCATTAATTTGGAACCACGGACACCATAAACAAATGTAGCCAGCTGGCAATATCTCTCTTCCTGTGGTTGAATTAATGCTTAAGCAACTTGTCTTCCCCAATTTCTGAGATGCCAGCAGATTTCTAGGTGAGCTGAGAAGAAAAGCAAAGCTAAGCAAGCTTTATCTGGTAGCTAAATGACAAGGGCAGCATCCATATACCAAGATTATGTCTCTGCTTAGAGACACTGAACAAAAAATAAAGAAGGGTCCATGCTGGTAACCACCACCAATCAGCCAAACTAGGGTTGGTATTAGTTGGATTACATTTGATGCTGGTCTTAGCAGAGCCAGTTTTTCAGCAGGGCTTTCTCCAGTTGTTCTGAGCAGTTTTGGTGAGAGCATGGATGTAGTACTTTGCCAAAGACAAAAGCAAGCAGGAAGGAGTCAGATCCTGTAGTTCTCTGCATTATGTGCAAAACCATTCCCGCCCCAGTGATGTTGACTGCATTCTCTTTCAGTTCAGACCAGTCCTCCAGCTACTATGAATTTCTCGGTGTGAGCAGCTGTCAGGATGTGCTTCACCTGTACAGACTGTTGTGGTCCTCCACAGTCCTCAACATCATCGGCTTGTTTCTGGGGATTATCACAGCAGCCATTCTTGGGGCATTTAAAGATATGGTAAGGCTCACAGTCTTTTGCCTTATGTGAGGGCCTTCTGCTTGTTGGCATTATCAAATTAGTTAAGGACATATAAATGTGCAAAGGTGATGCTTTAAATGTGTTTCCTGGGTGTTGTGGGAGTCTGGAGTGTTGTGAGTCGCTGCAGAAGATGAGTGTAACCCAGATTCTTGTTAATAGCTCCTTTGGGGCAGATTAGAATGAAACAATGCTGAATGGTCAGTGCTCTTAAATAAACAGTGTAGGGTTTATTATAGAACAATTTGGTTGCAAAGGAAAAGAGGTATGGAGCTGTTTCAGTGGTTATTATCTATAGTAACACAACAACACAAAAGCATTGCAATAGAAAAGCACAACATCAACCAAGGACACACACAAGGGAAAAAAAGAGAGAGAGAAAGTTCAAGCATGTGAGGATCTCACCATCCACAAGCAACAAGACTTGGTTGCTGCACAGTCTTGGTTAAAGTGGTGGTGGCTGACCACATCTGTCTGGTGGTGGAGGAAATCCCCAGAACACAACAACTATTGGGTCTATGTTCACTGTGGTTCAAGATGGAATGCTCAGGTACCTCCCCCTAGGTGGGAAGCTTGATGTAATAATGTGAATTTCCTTCTAAGACAGCACAGCTGCCCATCCTAGCAGCAGTTCAGTAAGTTAAGTCCCATCAGCAGCGATAAACATGTTGAGGCCACAGACAAATATCCTGAATTCCCTGGTACTTCCCCAGGGGGAGGAAGCCCCACAACTCAGTGGTCTGTGCAAGGGAGCACAGCATAGCATGACAAGGGGCACAGTCCTCTCCACAGGATCCACAACCACATTCACCCTGTGCCTTATCAGATCAGAGGTTTAGCCACTACACACCCAAAAGTTCACCTCCTCCATCTCAACGCAGCACCCTGGGGTCTCAACAAAGGTGGGGATGTTTTGAGTCATTGTCCCTTAACAATTCAGCCTCTTTCATGGATTTTCATACCTTTAGGTGAAGCTGTTGCCAGCTGTTCACAGCTAAGTGGGTCAAGCCCAATCAAATACATGAATGGACCAAAAAAACCCTCAACAGTGTGAACAAATGCTGGCAATTCATTTAGCGGCATATTTTTTCCCCCTTCTAATTCATCAAAAAATGTGGGGGCCAGCACTGGAGTCTGAGGATGCTAGTTTGTAGCTAACATGTGAGTCAAGTCCTATGTGTGATTGTTCAACACTTCAACATCCTGTTTTTTTTCACTAAGGAATGCCACCTTCTAACTGCTCCCTGTGGTGCTGTGCTGATGTGCACCACAGCATTCAGAAGAGACTGTGTGGTGGGAGGGATTCTCCAATGAAGTCACTCATTTGCCTGGGCTTACTGTCAGGTTAAAGGGTGGAGTTGTGCTTCCTGGGATTATCACTGTCAGTGGCCATGTTTAGTAATGCAATGCCTAAAGACCAAGAAAGGGGCTCACTATTTCCTAGGCTCTCAGGTGAGTGGTAGAACTAAATGGGCAGAGGCTTGGAGATGGAGGTGAAATGCAGGAACCAAAGGGAGGTGTGATGGCAGCACAGGTCATCTTAGACCCATGACATGTCTGGTCACTGTTGCAGAGGAGGAAACCGAATAGAAAGATGGGTAAAATGAATAAAATGAGAGAGCAGGGAAGAGAAGGCAAGAGAGATAGCTGAGATGTACATCAGGACAGGAGCGGGAGCGGACTGGCAGGAAGGGGCTGCTCAGAACTGGCACCCAGTAAGCCAAGGACCCAGTCAGACTGGAGGCTGTCCAGGCCCAGCTCTGACCACCCAGCATTCCTTAGGAAGCATGCCCAGGCTATCTACAACATGTGTTGGGTGCTTAAAATCATGCTTAAAATAGAGCAGGGCCATATGAGTTGATTGAAATTCACCTTTGTTAAGAGTTGCAACATTTCCTGGAAATATTCCTCTATCCAGCTTAAGCTAAACAAGTGCACTGAGCTATCACGTGTAAGAAATGTGCAGCTGAGGTCTCCTTTTTGCAAGGGACTCCTGCAAGGAGTTGATGATAACAGCTTGCAGCCAGCCACTAAAGAGTTGCAGCTGCCCAAAGGGAGTAAAAGCAGTTTTCCCATCTTAATTCATCCTCTCCCTGTGAGAGGAACTGAAGGGGAACAGAAACAACCACAGAGGGAAATGAGGGGAAGAGCAGCTGGCATGTGGACTGAAGGCAGCTCTCACCTACAGTAAGTTTTTGGGAGAGCACTGCAGCTTAGTGCTGCTATAAATGTTTTCTCCTGCCTAGCAGATGGGTGCAAGTGCAGCTGTGGGAAGCGTGCAAAGAGCCAACCTGAGCCCACCCAGCGTGTCTTGTTCAAACCTAAGCTTGCATGAGATGTGGGCTGATGCTTTGATACAGCTCTGTGCTTTGCTTTCTGCATTGCTTGTGAGGAGCACCAAGCCAAGGAGATGTTCCTGGGAGAACTGCAGTCTCCATGATCTGGCACATTCCCTTTCTGGGACGCACAGTCTGGTCTGGCTCCTCTGACTGGGTGGCATAAAATCATGGGGGGAAATTGCAGCAGAAGTGGATGTGCAGCTTGACCCCAAGCTTAGCTGAAGTAAGTCTGTAAAGGCTCCAGCTGAAAACCTCATCTGAATAAGCTGTTCAGTGTCTCCACTGAGTGTGAGCAGAAAAAGGATGTCATAGTCCAAGGGAAAGATGAGTTTGTGCCAGTCACCTCAGCTACACTTGTAAAAGTCTTACTAAAGCACCAATCCAAAATGAAATGTTTGCTCCTTGCTCCTGCCTGTGCTTTTCAGGGTTCTTTTGAGTTAGTACCAGAGATAATTTTCTAATCTGCTTCTCCCTTTCCTCACAAAAGGAGTAACTCTTGGGGGAAGACAGGGGCCAAGAAAACATCAAGCAGAAGAGGAAAAGAAAGGGGCATGGGACTGAAATAAAAAGAGCAAAATAACCCATTAAAATATGTGAGAGAACTGTTTGCTTTGCTTTAAGATTTCACCTTCTCACATAAACGCTCACTGGCATTTTTCAGGGAGAGCTGCAAAGCCCCCTGAAATGCCTCACAGCATTGCTTTGGGGTTGACTTCCAGAATACACAAGGCCAGGTTGACCAGTCAAACAAAAAACATCATGTTTATCTCTGGGGAATGCTGGCAGTCAAACCATGTTACAAAGGGGAGAGTTTGCAAAACAGTGCCCTTTCCTTTAAACCCATCATATTTCCTGGACAGAAAAAAAAGTGTTTTGGTTGTTTCAGCTTTTCTTTCTTGTGACAAATCCCTGGCACGCTCCGTGTGGTTTTGCTGCCTGCCTGAGGGCTGTGCTGGCTCAGTGGGAAGTATTTAATTCTCTCCTGACCCCCAAGGTGTCAGCTCAGTGGCTGCTGTGTTGCCCATGGGGCTGCTCCCTGTGATCTGCAGGATGCTGGGGGAGCTGCAGTGCTTACAACAGGAACCCTCCTTTTAAGATCTACAGCATGCTTGGATGTAGGACATGGAAGCAGTTCCCTTAAAGTCACCTCTGAAAAGCAGATTTAGATATTACATCAATAGATGTAAGAGCCAATAGATATAATAGCCAAAGTACCCAAAATGATAACACACTGTGATTATTTCTTAGAGAAGCTGCAGCTAAAGAATTACATGGAAAATTTCACTTGCTGATGCTGAGTTAATCTAGCAACTCCCTTCCCTGTCCTGGTATTCATCCTTCTGGATGTTTTTCTGACACACCTTGCCAAGGAATCTTCCTACCCCGAGTTTAGGGCTGCATTAATCTGAATTACTGATATTCCTGAGGGGAGCATGGTGGGGTGGGAAGGGGATGCCTTTAGCACTCCTGCAATTAAAGGTGCAGTCTGATGTAAAGAGTAGCTGGAGGTCAGACATAAATGCTCTGACAGGTCTGTGTGAAGCCAGTGAGCTGACACTGTTAGCACTCCCTGGCTAGTTCATAGCTTCTTATGAATTTGACTTGGGTGTTGGCGCAGTTTAGAACATCTCAACCTACCCTTGTATTTTAGGTGAGTAATTTGACACAGAGTAATTACTGGAGTACTTGATAAAAGCATCCAACCCACTTCAATAACTGCAAATAGTTGCTGGCCCTGGGCTGAGACCAGACAGCATGTTAATAAGGTGCTTTGATTAGTGTATGTGGCATGGATGATTCCCCAAATTTGTCTTCTAGGACTCTTGAGATGTTCATCCTTAGCAATTAGAGAGCCCTGCTCTGTGGGTGGATGGAACATGAGAGGACTGAGAGAGGTTCCCAAGAGAAGAAGCCAAAGGGGTTCAAACAGCAGCACCCAAAGAGACCCACACCAGGAAGTTGGTGACAGATGCAGAACATCTGCATCTGTATTCCACATCTGTGGGTAAATCAAGTGTTTCTTGACTCATTTATGTCAGAGGGATCTGATTTCATCCCTCCTCTGAGGAAGGAAGGGCACACTCTGGGGCTGTGGCACTAGCCCCAAACCTTTGGGTGTGAAGCAAGCAGTTTACCTGTTCCTCCCTGCTCCTGAGGCACTGTCCTTACATCTCTCCCCACCATATCCACCCAGCAGGGCAGGTAGAAAGCTGGGTACCTTGCAGATGAGAGTGTTTTGAGGAGGGTGCCTTGAAGATGAGAGTCTTGCTTTATCCCATGAAATAAGCTCTCTGCCTTTGATCCCAGCCTTTCTCCATGCCAGCTCCTGAAATGCCAAATTACTTCAGGAAACTAAGGCCTAGGTTTTTCAGTAACCTCATGTGGTACATCAGTGACCTAGATGATGTTTTCCATGTACAAATACCATTAATATACCTCTTTCCCAATCACAGAGAGATCTCACACTGTCTCCAGAGGATGTAGTAGTTTATATCTCCCACTGATAAATTTGAAAGGAAATTAAAAAAAAAAGTCCTGGCTGCTGGTTTCAGCATTTGTCTGGCAACTACCATATTTTATTATTTCAGTGAAAAGAAAATTCCATGCTCTCATGTGGAGGAATCTGCTAACAAAAACAAAGGAAATAAAAGAAACCACTGGATTTATCTCATGAAAATATTCCACAAAGCTTTGTTGCTCTGCTGTCCTTCACAAATTGTTATATGGCATAGGGTTTTAGGGTTTAACGCAAACCCTTTTTCACATTTAGCATTTGGGGTTTTTTTCCTGACCACGATTTTTTAGCTGGTTTAATGTGAGTTATTACTTCTTCCTGCAAACTTCATTTTGCATTGTAATTAAAAGACATGCCAATAAAGCCATGAGAGAAGGATTTTCTGCAGTAGGGATGAGGTAAGCACACTGAGAGTGATGCTGATGAGCCAACAGCAAACTCTATTTTCCAAGTGAGAGTGAGCTGTGAAAGAGGAGCGACTGGTCTGGAAAGGGAGATCTAGGTAAATCTGTGTAGGAAAGCAGAGAAAAAAAAGACTTGAGGGCATCAGGTAGTTGCTGCTGGAAGGAGTCTGCAGCAAATGGTGAAGGACTTGGTGTTTGGTGCTGGATGAATAGGAAGAGGCAGCCAAAGCTCTGTGCTGTGCTCTTCAGGGTGTCTCAGATCTGGAGCCCTGCCAGTGCTTCTGTAACTGTTGCTAGGGAAGCACCAGCAGCCTTTTTCCAAGGGAAAAAGATGAAAATAGCTGTGTATTTTTACTCAGAAAATTAATTCCGGATACACCCTCCTCTCATTCTGTCTGCTCCATGGTTTTCTGTACTACTGGTATTACGTTGGAAAATAGAAAGTTGTTAAATTGTCTTGTTGCTTGTGTTAGGAGCAGTTCCTGCTTCAGCCCCCTCTACATTGTACTGATGTATTGCTGTCTTCTGTGCTCAACAGGTACCTCTGTCCCAAATTGCTTTCAGTGCTGCACCTCCTCCTCAGATCCTGTACAACCCTGCCCAGCAGATCCTGACATACGCTGGGTTCTGTCCTTCTGCGGCAACCATTTCTACATATCCATCCTACCCATTACCTCTTCAGGTACAGTATGAGAACACACCCTTCTCACACCATCAGAAAAGCACAAGCTGCTATTTGCTCAGTACAAACTTTGCAGATCTTAGCTGGATCCCAGCTCCCAGGTTTGTCTGTGGGATGATTTAGTCTGTGCCTTGTTTTCTGGTCTGTTCTCAGACCTCATGCTTCCTCTGGTTGTGCTTTGGACTCTTACCTGCTGATGAGGTAAAAGTAGCCAAGAGTAGAGAGAGAAGGGGATAGAAACACATGAAATTAAGCTGAAAATATTCAGGTAAGTAGTCATGAGGATCCATTGTGACTGTTCAGTCCTGTGTCCACTGAGAAACAAATACATTGCATTTACTCCAAATTCTTATCTGCACTCCAAAAGAAACGCAGTTATTTCCCCTAGATTTCTACTTTTTCAAATAAGTGTGTTCATTTATCTTCCTTCCTCTTCATGACATTGAGGGAGACACCACCAGCTATCCTCAAGTCAGGAGAGGTTAGTAAGAAACACTGGAATCCACTGGGATGGTTACTAACAAACAATGGGAAAACTTAACTCTATTCCTGAGGAAAAAACATAAAAGCAAGCCACCTCCCTGTACGTATGAACTCATTATGTTACAGTTTGGAGAGAAGTAATTTCTGCATCAGTATATGAATTGAAAAAATCATAATAAATATATTCAAAGGTACAAATTGTGAATGAATGATTAGGAGCAGACAAAAGCTTAACTGTCATCTGCTTCTATAGCTTGAAAACTGTGGGCTGAATCCATGGGACTGCAGGTCTGAGCTCTTCATGTTCCATTTAAGTATTTAAGCTGCCAGATTCAGGCCTTCACAAGGCCTGCTCAGATGCAGCCCTTAATCCCAGTCTGGGTCTGGGATTCATCTGACTGAGCACAGGGGCTGTTGGCATGTAGGGATCTAGAATGATAACTGCTTGATAATGAGATCAAGTAGCCACCTGTCCCCTGCTGCTGCTCTGAGAGGGTCCAGGTCCCATTGTCTCCAGATCACATCTGTGTGGACATCTGGGATATCCCATGGCATCCCAAAAGGGCTGGACACTAAGATGTGGGAAACTGAATTAAGTTTTAGCTGTCCACAGAGTATAGAAGAGAGCCTTTAGAGTCACCAGTGGATTATCTCAGGCTAAAGGTATTATGACATTCATTCCTGGACCTCTGCTGAATCCAGTGTCTCACTGAATAAATGCTTGCCAGAGAGGCAAAGTCTATAAAAGAAATCAGCCATATGGCAAAAAGGGAGGTATATAGCAGGAATGCATTTTGAAAAGATGTAGCCAGCATTTATTTTGTTTACTGTGACATGTGCTAACAAAATAATACATCCCTCACTGGTACAGTTCAGCCACAACTGATCTTGGTAACAAGCCTGCCAGCTGGGCAGGTAATGGTCCTGATTAGCTGTGCAGGGACTGGTGATGACAGCAGTTATGGGTTGTGCCTGTTATTCCTGCTAGAGAAGAGCTCACTACAGAAACAATTCCAGGCAAACAGATGGAAGCTGTGGTTGCAGTTTGAGAGGGGAGGGAAGCAACAACTCCAAAATAAATAAAACCCCAATCCAACCCAAACCCACAACAACTAGGTTTGGAGCTGATGTATCTACCAGGACTGTCAGTACACCTGCACTGCCTCAGAGAGTTAAAGGGCAGAAATAAGTCTTCCTGTTGGGATGCCCCCATTCTCACTCACTAAATCACCGTGTGGTACAAATGCAGGACAACATTCTCCTTGCCAGGAGGGTTTGACCCAGGGCAGCAGCCCCTGCTCACATGGAGCCACATAGAAGAAGCAAGCACCTTGGCATGGGGTCTGCCAGCCCTGGACAGCTCTGAGATGCCATTGTCCAAGGGCCAGCCTTGGTCTTGGCCTTCTAGATTGTGGCTATTAATGTTTTTATTAATAAAAGCAGGGAATATCACTTGCCCAGATTTTTCATTTCCTTTGAAAAAAGATACATGATTACTTTATCTTGCTTTTAAATTCCAGGCACTTTAAATTCACTTAAAGTCTGAACCTGAGGGGGTTGAGCCCAAGCCTTCAGTTGAAGCCCATAGACAGGCATGTGCTAGAGTATGAGAGGAGGAGTAAAATCCTCACCCTCTGGAAATCAGTCACAAAACTTGGCTTAAAGCAGTAGTAGGATTTTATCCTGAATATTATTCCCTACATACATTCTTTTCTTTTAATGAACCCTGCTTGTTCCTGAAGATGGGCTACTTCCAAAGCTCTATTTATTTTTCATGCCTTTTTCAGCTAAAGCCCCATCACAGCTGACTACCAAAGAGGGAGACACATGCCTACCTGTAAAATTTTCTCTTAAGAAGAATCTGCATTTGGCAAAGGAGCAAGACCTTGCATTTATGCAAGTATTATAGCCGAGATTAATTACAACTGAGGTAATTTAAATTTCACAGCGATGCCTGGAAACGAGCAGCCACACGTAACCTAATCAGTCAGGCAGGTGCTGTGCCTCACCCAGGAAGCCAAGCCTCTTTTCCTGCAGAAATTCCTGTTCTGCTCTATTGCCTAGCTGTCTACACAATGTCTATTAAAAATGACTTGGCTTACAAATGGAATCTCTCTTGTTTCACGAGACACCATCATTGTTACACTTAAGCAGGTGCTTTGGAACTGAAGTTAATGTTGTGCTGTGATGCATGAGAAATTTAATCATGGGGCTTATTATATAACACATGGCAAACAACACCAAACTGCAATGGGGTTGTACTCCTTTACTGAAGAAGTTATTTCTCTTTGTCTCATACAGCCTGCCAGCAATTTTCCAGGAACATCATCTACTGACATTTCTTTATCAGAAGAAACCCAGCCTCCTTCTCAGTCCAGCTCCAGCTATGGTCTTCCCCCAAATGCTCCAGCCCTCTATACACCGACCTACTGCTTGCCTGGAGAAAAGCCTCCACCATATGCTCCATAGAACAAAGAGTTTATTTTAGTGGCTGGTAGTCTTTTATTTTATTTTATAGAAACCTCTGGAATCTGTGCTGTGCAGGCACTAGGCTTCCCAAAGGAACCCAGCACAGCGTGTGCTATTGCCACTCTGCTTGTACCCACATCTCCTGTGAGCAGGGCAGAGCCCTGGAACTCTAGGGGCAGGAACATCACCACTCAGTTTGCCTCAGTCAGATGTAGTAGAACCTTCTGGCTACTGTAAGCATGAGATGTTTCCCTCTCAGTCCACTGCAGAATTGATTTTCTTCGAGAGGAAAAATGAAGAAAACACTCTGGATATGTGTTCTGCTTTCATAAACCAGTATCAAAGGGTTTTAGCCTGTGTTGTCTGAGCTCTCAGAGTCAATCATTTTGGGTAGCAAGAGTTTGTTTGCTTGTAGTGTTTGATAACTCTTCTGGTGAAAGTGTTGTACCAATAAAGTGTGGCAATTATTTTACAATAAAGTTCACAGTGTATATTTATACTACACCTAAGGCTGTGTATATTTGGAAGGAAAGGAAAATAAAAGAACAGAGGAAGAAGTATCCTACCAAATAGTCTCCCTTTTCAAGTTTCAGATAGAAAGGTTAATTCTATTGGGACTGTTTTAGCTGAACTTCATGCCAGTCTAGCCTGCATAGTAAAATGTCATGTTAATGCACTAAAAATACCATTTCCAGATGTGTATTTTAGGCTATACTTTAGTGTTCAAATTAATTCCTTTCTAGTCAAAAGACCACCACAACCAAAACCATCTTAGGTTAAATGCCTCTTATTTATTTTTAAGTTAATCCAAGACCTAATGCAGGTATTTTACAATGACTGAAACAGAGTGAATGAAGGGGCCTAATTCCTTTTTTTAAATTGTTTATTTTCTCCTCAGGCTGAGCAATACCTTTGCTCAGTGCCATTGACAGGAAAAAAAGCCATTTTTCTGTTGTGTGCACCCTGCTTCCTCACCATACACCACATTAGCTGGGATTCCTTTTGGCACACACCTGCCATATTTTGGGACAGGGGTACTCACAACCAGCATGAAATCCCATCTGAATTCTGCATCCCTTCACTGCATTGTGCTCCTGCAGGAAGGGTGCTGGTGCTGCTTGCTTCATAGATCTTACAGTCTAGACAGCAATGAAGCTCTAGAAATTTCCTGAAATGCCAAAAACAGGGAACGGAAGGTATTTCTCATTTACATTTTAAGCAGCTGCTCTGTATTATGCAGATATTGAAAAAAACTATATAAACAAAACCAGCTTACTTGACAGTTTCCTTTGAAAGGAAGTGACACCAGCATCAGACCTGCTGAAAATAGAAAAAAGATGATCATCCTTTTGCACAACACTTTGTAAGTTTCAAGAAATATCTGTTAATTCATATGTTTTACCTCCATGCATAAAAAGCAGATTCAGTACTGATACACATAAGAAGAGAGATTAATTTATGTGGACCATTAAAGCCACCTTTTGTTCAGTTAAGGTTTTTCTGAGATTGAAAGTTTTAGTGAGCAGTGATGAGGTGTATTGTTGACAAGGTGAGTTATAAGAATGTGGCTGAGAGAAATTAAACATTAATGCATACAAAATGCTTAGTTCTTGTGGAAATAGATGCTGTGAAACGCACGGTCACTCTGATTATGAAATAAGTGAAGTTACACATCTACTTCTTTTTACTTGCTAGGAATACTACCAGGGGAACCTCCTGGGTTTATTTTGAGGGCTCAAAGTCCAGAACAGACTTGATCCCTTTGGGCTGAACACCTAGGCTAACTGAACAAGGATGAAATCAATGTTTCTCTTGGGTTGAAGCAAGTGACTGAGAAGGAATGAAGGAATTGCAGCTACTTCTTCCTCCATACCTTTCTCCAGTATGGTACTGAGGTAGGGTATGAAAAAAATTCACCTTTACACTACCCCGCTTCCCCACATACTTCCCCACCTCTTTTGTCATTCTCCAGACTGAGAAATTCTGAGTTTCTCTTCTAAACCACATTTTGACTCAAAGGTGCATTGTGGTCTATGCAAAATATCTTCACATACATACATACATATGCAAAGTCCAGGAGCAATTTCTGCTCTGAATTAGAAAATTAAATGTTCTTGTACATGTGACATTTAGTATGGAACTTCAGAGTACCGTAACATACCACAGGACTCACATTTCCAGGACCCAAAATAATTCTGGCCCCATAAATAGTGTCACTTACATTAACACAAAGGTCAGACATGTTTGTGATTCATTTATGCCACATGGTAGTTTTTTGGGAACTACCACAGAGATTTTACAAAAATACCAGACATGAAACTATTTTGCTAGCATATTTAGTTTGAAAAGAACAAAGTAAGACAGGGCTTGTTTCATCTTCTTTGTTTAAAAATAAGTGTCTTCCGAGTCTGTATTTTTTTTCAGTGGAGTTTTTCCAAGTTTAATAGATGGGAGATTTTTGTGGTTGAATCCCAGCCGGCAGCCTGGCCCCAGGCAGCCACTCACTCACTTTCTGTCCCTGGGACTGGGGAGAGAGTCAGAGGGGTAAAAGTGAGAAACTCGTGGGCTGAAATGCACAGTTTAATAGGTAAAGGAAAATCTGCACACACCAGCAAAACAGAACAAGGAATTCATCCACCACTTCCTGTGAGCAGGCAGGTGCTCAGACATCTCCAGGAAAGCTGGGCAACATTCCATGAAGCAGTGACTTGTGACTTGGGAAGACAAAGACCATCACTCTGAGTGTCCCTTCCCTTCCCCTTTTGTCCCCCAGCTTTATGCGCTGATCATGAGGCCATATGGTGTGGGATATGCCTCTGGTCGCTTAGGGCCAGCTGCCCCATCTGTGTCCCTTCCCAACTCCTTGTGCACCCCCATGCCCCTCACTGGTGGTTGGGGTGAGGAACAGAAAAGGTCTTGGCACTGTGCAAGCCCTGCTCAGCAGTGGCTAAAACATCCCAGAGTTATCGACATTGTTTCCAGCACAAACCTAAACTACAGCCCCATACTGGCTACTGTGAAGAATATTAACAAAAACAAGCACAGAGTTGTACTTTGGTAAAGGACTAAAATAGCTATTAAAAATGTACAGAAAATAAAACACTGCAGTGTGGACATTTCATTAAACAGAGTATCTTCAAGATTTCCAGCTCTTACTGAAGAAACAAATCTAATCTTTCTTGGGTACTCCATCAAATCACAAATTGATCCAGTGTCATCAGCTGTAACATAAAGCACCTTCAGGAACAAGGTGGTTTCCCTTGCTCAGCTGAAAAAAACAAAAACATAGAACTGTTCCTTGGTTTTCCTCTCCATGCACAGTCTGCCACTAAGGTAGAGGGAAATTTCCTTTCAAACTTGTGTCTGACCTGAAGTAGATCGTTCTCCAAGTATAATTGAGTAGGTTGGTTGCAAGTGATAAAGTTCTGTTCTTTTCTGCCCTATTGCATTACTGCTAATTGATTTGCTCATGATAAGAAGCAATGTCTAATGGCAAATAGGGTACCTTCCTCTTCTCTGATAAACAAAACAGGGATCCTTGCCAGAAAATATGCTTGGAACAGTTTTCCCCTTCTTTCCTCTTTTCCTCTGGGACAGTTGTATCTTCACAGTTGGGTCACAGATGTCACCGCACATGAGGATTATTAGACTAATGTGTCATCTCCTTATCTGCTTAGGGAAAATAACATGACTGGCCAAGAAAAAGTTATAAGCGACCTTGTAGAATTAGACATTTTTCATGCTGATCCTCTGAAGGGTGGTGTAACATTAGCCACCCAGTACTTGGATTTTGCACCACAGCATATACCACTATTACTCAGTTTATTTATTTGATGCAAGACAAAGACCAAATAAAACAAGATTTAAGTGACTCAAGACAGGCTAGGCAAAGCCCATCCCAACTTCAGAAGGATAACTGAAAAGCTGAACACAGTTTATGGCTCTAAAACCTTTCCTGCATAAACCCCCACAGATATTCTCACCTCATGCAGTTCAGCCTGGCTAACTCTTACAGCTCAAGCCTCTCTGCTCCCACTAGGCTCACAGTGAATGAGCCAGCCTAAGAATGCAGCAGCAAAAACATGTCATCACCAGATAATATTCCCCAATTCTCAACACCTCATCATTTGCTCCAGCAGCTATTGACACAAAAGCTGTATGGCTTTCAACTTATTGAGTTTTTTCTTCTAAATGTTTCCTGCTGACCCAACTTCATTTTCCATTTTCTGTTGACCAAGAGTTTTTCTAAAGGTCACCACAGAGTCTTCTTTCTGCGGTACCAGAAAAAGAAACTCTAGCAGCAAGAATAGCAGCCACCATTTGCTCTGCAGCTGAGAAGATATGAAATACTGATATAAGCATTAAAAACCCCCAACCTCAAACTAAAATATAAAAAGAAATTAAAAAAATCCAAACCAAAAAAGCAGCCTTTTCCCCTCGCCCCAGTGTAACCTCCACATCATGTACAATCCAAGTCATTGTCTCCAAATACCAGAACACAGAATAATCTCAGTACAGGTAAATTAAAAACTTGTATGTAAATATTTTATTCTCTCATGTTTTGCAAATCAGAAAGCAGTGTTTGGTAATAAAAAATAATACAGAATTATTATTTTTCTTCCAGTCCACACTCATATAGGTTTCCCACATTACAGATGAAACTGTCTCTTACAGTCTAAAGATAGCATTCACTTTCAGTATATTCTGTACTTTTGACTTATTTAATATTAGTCTTCTGAACTATTTACAAATATATTACAACCTTTAAACCTCAAAGCAAAGAGTATTTCAATAATCAATCTGACATAAGGATCAGTAGCTTCTACATAACTTCAGTGTTTAAGAGAAACTATACACGCAGTGCGGTAGATCTGAATAATTTATATCTTTTAAAAAAAGAAAAGCACTGAAAGTTTCTGAGTATAAAACTTTCGCATTGCAGGGGTACCTACTGACCCTCCTGGACTGGAGGACAGGAATGTGAGGTGATATCACTGTGCTTGTAGAGAGCCTCATCTAAGTCCAGTGCCGTGTTGCTCAGCTTGAGGGTCATGCAGCCGTGGTAGGACGCGGTGACTGGGGTGGAAGTGACAGGAACATCTGTTGGAAAGGGGAGATATTTATCTCTGACAGCTGCTTTTAAATAAATACCTGCCCTACCTAGGCCCATTGGCTCTCACTTCAATGAATTCAAGCTCACCTCTTTCCATGCTAGGGGTTCTACCTCCCTCTGCCCAGGTGTGAGGAAAACATCATCTGTCCTGGTGCACAAAAGCCCTTCTCCCAGGCTGAACCCTTTCTCAGCTGTTCTGTATCTCTGCAAGGTCTCCAGATGTGATGAAACCACGAAACCTTGTGCTGCACAGCAGCAAGGCTTCACTGCAGTGGTACAATGTGCTCACACAGCCCCATGTTTTCCCCCCTCCATCTCCAGATCCTCTGCTTTGTTATTGGAGGAGATTTTAGACCTTCCCCTAAAGTTCTTTCTCTTCAAAATAGCTTCCAAAAGATTATAGGAAGAATTTTATGACAGGAAAGCATTTCCCATATGCAGCCTCTAGCACTTGCTGGACTCATCTTTACCACAATTTTGCTGTGTATGAGCACAGGAAGGTTGCTGGCCTTCATCAGAAAGGTGCTGGAATGCATCAGTTGAATTGGTCAGACTAATGAGACTAAATTCTACTGTGGAGATCCACACTGATGTTCTTTTAATCAGTTTACCAGGGGCAGAAAACAGATGGCAAGGAAGAAGACAATAAGTACAATCCAATAGACCAGAGGAAATCAGTCAGTCTAACTACTAACTTCTGTAATATCATATGCACCCTGACCATAAACAAACAAAAAACCCCACACACTAACATAACAACAAGAAAACCTACATGAGCTCTGTCCTCTACCTTTCCCCAAAGGTCATTAGTTTATTTACAACCCAAAGCTGAGCCAATCAAACTGGTTGTGCAATGGAAAATAATGAACGTCTAAAAGAATATTTAACTTCACAGTGATTCAGGTAGCTAAATAAGTCACTTATATTTGCATCAAAGCAAGGACAACTAGAACAATAGGTTGTCCTGTTGACCCAAGATTATATGAAATTTAAAGTGTTCTGCCTGGAGATATGCCGGGCTGATGTGATCAGACACAGCTCAGACAGAATCTATGACTGAGTGAGAGAGAGAACATTTGTGGGAGATCTGTAAGCCACAAAGAAATACTAAAAATCTTTTCAGCTTCCTAGATGAGAAGTACCATTACTCAGTAGTTGTTTTAACTAATGATGTTATCTGTTTCCCATTCCTCCACATTTACCAAAGTTTATCTGTAAAGTCTGCTTAAAGGAATGTAGCCTCTCTGTTGTAATACCTCAGATAAATGTAAACTAAATTTTGAGTCAGGAGTTGAAGTTCTGTCTTCACAGCTTGAAGACTCCTCTAAGGAATGAAGCAGATTGCTGTTACATGTGCCACAGGGCTGGCTGAAACACAGTGTGTGCTTTCAGATGGATTTGTTAGAGATTAAAAAAATATTTTATTTTTTATTCTTTGTGTTGTAGCTGTAAATCAGATGAAATACTTCATTTTCTGTTTTGACTAGAAATGGATCTGTCTAAAATGTGGTCATGTAAAGATTTTAACTTATTTAAATTTAGTTTAAATTTTTATTTAAACTTTGCAAAAGTTTAAAGGTTCTTTCACCTGGTGGAATGTATATTTCCTGAAAAATCACCTATGCATCACATAATTTAGGATTTACCAGAACTGAAAAGCCTATAGAAAATGTAATAAATGCCTACACGTTCCCTCTTATCTGTTTCAACTCTAGTATTTCTTCCATATTTGCAACACTAGCTGTGCTTAGGATGAGATATATTTCATATTTGGATCCAGAATTCTTTCTTTATTTGTGCAAATGGAATAAAGACGTGAAGTTTGACCACTATACTGTTTTTTCCACACGGTATGGAAGTATGGAAAAACTGAAAACTACATAATGTTTTCAAAATCTGAATGAGCCAATCTCACTTAGATCTGACCATTCACTATCGTTACTTAGCCCAGAGTTATTAATCCAGCTGAAGTGCTGAAATGTTTATTTATTTGGCAAATGACAGGGTTTCTCAGTGCCGGGTTCCTCTCAATGGCAAAAGCAGAGTGCTGGCAGGAATCCCCGTTGCTAAGCAAAGCAGATCAAAGTGGGGATAGTAGCTAAACCTACAGCAGCCAGCTGAGTCTGAGCTGCCACAGCCATGGTATCTCACACTTAGTTCTGGCAAACTAAAACCAGCTCTGCACCCAGCACAGGTAGTCTGAGCAAACCACAGAGAACTTGGGACAGTGACAGAATGGGATAATTTTCTGAGCTGTGGAAATCTCTGCTGTGCATCCGAGAGCTGCTAAAAAGAAAGCAGGCAACCTCTCCTGCCTGTGCAATGGCCAGCTTACATAATTCAATCTGAGACTGGAAAATGCTGTGTTTGGGATTTCAGCTCTGCTCCTGCCAGAGAAGGTGGCCTCCCCCTTTCAGGTGTGACTGAGAGCCATTTGCAACATCAGCATAAAACCTCTGTGAACTCTTGCTCATGGTGGAGACAGCCAAGTGTCCTAGCTCATGTGGCACCTCAGCCTGACTGCTTCAGCAGCTACCAAGGGGCCAACATTTGTACCTCTCCCTTGTTTGGGCAAGTAAGGGCAAGATTTTGCTTAGCTGCTGGCATCGTGTGCATCAGAGACATAAGTGTTCCTTTAATAGCATTCCTCAGCAGAAGGGACTGATAAACCAGTTCAGGCAGAATAAGAAACAAACTCCCAAACCTGGCCAAAACTCAGGACTCAGATGAAAGTTTGATTTTACAGGTTTAGAAAAGAGGAGCAAACTGACCTCCCAGAAGAAACCCCTCTGTTCCTGAAAAGCCAAAGAAACTATCAGTGGTGTTAACCCCTTGGTTGTGCCCTACATGCCCTCTGCTGGGAGGCAGTCAATTGACTGTGTCATGCTGTGACCAGTTCAAAGAGAGCATCAGCCAGGGAGAATTGCCACTCTGGGCTTGCCAAGTTTCAGGCAAAACAACTTGAGGCCCTAGTACTCCCGTCATGGAGTGCTCCCACAGCTTCATTACATTAATGAAACAGCAGTCCAGCTCCTATGGACTCTACCAGGTTTAAGATAATAACACAGTTTACAGCAATCCTTCAGATTAAATCACTCCTGTTGTTGAACAAGCAAAACCCCCTCTTATTTTTGCCTCCAACTGCCCTGAGAAGGACACAATCATTCCAGGAAAGTGCAACCCCAGACCCATTATGTTCCTGCACTGCAGACAAAGCCTGCTCAAGCAGAAACAGAGAAGGAGTCTCACAGCTTGAACAAAAACAGTTTTCCTGACTCCCAGCTCACCAAGGCAAGTTGGAAGTCCATGGTACAAAACTGGAGGCTCACCTGGCAATCCTCCCACGTATGTCTTCGTTGACTGCAAAGAGCTCTCCAAGACAGACAGACTATCTTCCAGTTCAGAGCTGCTTAGTTCACTCTCTCCTGCTACCCCATCTACCCTCAGGGATAAGTGATCTTTCTGGAGGAGGATGTCTACAGAGTGTTCCTTCTTATCACAGAGATTTATTGCCAGTCTGGACACAACTGTATTCTCCAAGGCCACAATGATAAACTGAGCAGCAGGGGAAAGAAAGAAAGAAAAACAGGCAGTGAGCAGAAAAATACCTAGCTACACTTACCCTGTACCAGGATGAGCCCAATGTGCCCTTTATTACAAATATTTTGCAGGCCCTCCAGAGAATTAGACTTATTACTATTGCTGATTGTGTTCTGAGTTCATTGCATAGATGAAAAACCAATGAACCAGTGGGACTAATTCTTGAAATCATGTTTTGTCAGAGAGAGTTCTTAGTGGGTCTTGCTGAAGTCATTACATTGCACTGGAACTAAACCAACAGAAACAACTATAAATGAAAACTGGCTCATGGGAGTTAGTGAAATCCTCCCTGGTTTACCCCTGTGAAATGCCAGAATCTAGCCCTTTGTTATGAATGCCATTAAACAGTAGCTTCAACACTCCACCAAAACTGGTCTTTTCCAGCATCTTTCCCACACCTAAAGCCTGTCTCTTGGCTACTTTGGGACACTTACTGATAAGTAAGAATGAATGGAAATCCCTGGTTTATGGCACTAAACAGTTTCTGTGCCAGGAAAATAAAAAAAAAAGCCTGCATTCAAGAGAGCAGTTCTGTCTTTTACCTAAGCCACATTTGTCAAGAGCTCTCCATTAGCATCTGACACACACCTGTAAGGCAGAACTTCAGGCAAGCACTGTTGTTTCAGACCATGCTCTGAACAGGTGGGACAAATAACGAGGCAGGCAGCAAACCTGACAACTGTTTTTGAAATTGACTTCCAGTTACCAGGAAACAGCAAGGAAACTTCTCAAACAAAATACAAAAATACTTGTTTGTACCTGTTGTTTCAGTTTCTTTGTGGAGTGATAGTCAATCAGAGATAGTGATAAAGGGACAGATGCTTCTTCTGTAACCAGGGCAAACAGCACACCAGTGTCTGTTGCTGGCTGAATTACAGCATTTACTTCAATTTCCCAATTTGTCTTGGTTTCATTTCCAGAAGAAGGTTGTACTGCAGAAAAATAAATTCATAGGACAATGTGTTAAATGGGTAAGCTGTTCAATTCCTCCCTGGAGAAGAGCATAGGCAGATGAGCATCTGGAGGGACTGTCACATTTTTTTATTAAAAAAAATAAAAAAAAAATCATTCCAAAGCACCTGAACATAAAATTGGACAAGAAAATGGCATTAGATTCTTCTTGTTACCTTATGCATTCTGCTACTTTTCAGAATTCAAAGGATAACATTAAGCTTTTTTTTATCACAAAGTTATTTTGTTATAGTCCCATGGCTGCCAATCTGACACATTCAAAGCACTGCTGCAAGATAAGTCAATCAAAAACCAATTTTTGAACCAGTCTGCCCAAAGGTCATTGAGAAATCTAAGTTGAAATTTGACATGCTGGAAACATTCATGTGAAAGCCTGTATTAAACTAAAAAATTGTATAAGCATACTACACTCAAATTCTTCCTGATCACCAATCTCTCAGAAGTGTGCCACATTTTATTTTACCTGCTGAACCCTGAATTAAACTTTCTGGTATCTTCTTACTGCCTCAGTGCCCTTATAATTTAAAAGGTAATGCAGGCTGCAAAGAAAGATCTCAGTCCTTCCCCTGTAACCTCTCATCACATATTGAAATACAGTGATCCAGTGATCCATTCCTTATTAAGCTTACCACTACAAAGCTAAAAAAAAAAAAAAAAAAAAAAAGAGAATAATGGTTTGAAAAAAAATGCAGGTGCTGAGGCCTTATCTTGGCTGAGTCCTGTCATCTCCACCTCTTCACCTGCACTTTAGATGCTCCCTAGTCTTCACTTTGCAACTTTTGAATCCATGTGCTAAGTAATATGACAGACATCTGGTACTCCCTTATTAACCATGGCACAGCAGAAAAATGCACACAACACTGAACAGATGGCTCTTGCAGAGCAGGACTTAAACACCACACTGAAATAGATGGTCTGAATTTTTTGTGGATTCAGAAATACTGATAGCTGATTACACAGATAAGCAAACACAATAATCTAGAACAATGAAAGGTGCCTTTCTGAGTACTACATTAGTATGGACAAGTTTGATTTGAAGCCTATTATTACTGTATGCCAATTTCATTGGCTTCTATCAGAGATTTGCTTAGTGCATTTGTCCCAAGTGTAAGTAATGACACCCCATGATTAAAAGCGAATCCAAGAAAATAGACAATATTATTTTTTCTGTCTATCATGACCTCAAAATACAGCAGTATGGCTTGCAGATCTCTCTGTTGAGCAGAAAACAATGGTAAGGACCAGAAGCACCTAAGCTGCTGACAGAGAGATGTAAAGCCTCTAAGGCTGAGGATGAGCTGGAGGCAGTCTGGGTGTGAAATGTATTACTGGAGCTACACAGAAACCACCTAATCCATGCTGGGCACATTTGCACTGGCTTGACCTATCATATACAGGCCCTCCTTCACAGGAGAAGAGCCACAAGTTTAGTCTTTTCTGCACCAATCCACAGTGAATCTGGCATACATCTAAGTGTTACAGCATTTGTTAGCCAGGTATGATTAATGGCAGGACAACAGGTCAGAAACAAAAATCCCAGCCTACTTACTGTAAGTAAGATTAAACACAGCAAAACCTCGGCCAGGATAGAAAGACCCTCGTCCTGCTACAGCAAAGCACTGCATCTTTTCGTTCATCTTTATGGTCTCTTGGATAGAGGTGTCCTCCCCATTCAGCCAGTTCCACGCTCGCATGCAACCATCCAGACGAGGGTTTATCTAGGAAAATAAAGCAGTATCTTATGCCACAAACTAGTCTTCAGTGAAGAGGAATTGTGTGCAAAGGAATACTGAGTTATACTATGATACCAAACAGTAGAAACAATTTTGACTTGTTATGTACATGCAAACCAATAGACTGCAACCCCAAACCTGCAACCCCAAGCGAGTGAGTGGTCAGTATTTCCCCAGAAAATTCCCCTCAGCTCAGCCTGTTTCCACAGGCCACAGGGGCACCAGCTAGTGCAGGTGGTGATTTGGTTGTACTGATTCTGTAAGCCCCTCTATGTGTTGCCCATCATTAGTACAACTTATTTCTAAAGTTCTGTAGCCAAAGCTCTGTATTTCTGCATTGCAAATGCTGGAGGCTAACTTATGGCTGAAAATCCCATTCCATTTTGTCTTTGCAAACACCCTGACACACAGACATTGGAGCTGATCATGGTATAAGTTCTTAGGTTCTGGCTCAAGGAGGGGCACCTGCACCATAAGACCAGCACACCATTCTGTACACACCTTATTCCTTCCAGCTTCTAGTTAGGCTATCCTGTACCAAACATCAGCATTAAAATGTGAGTCAGTGTGTAAAGAGAAGGCTCCTTGCAAAGCCTCTAAACCAGCACCACTCCCCCCAATTAACTGAAGGACAGAGAATTAAGTGTCTGAGCCAGGATAAAAACCTGAGGAGTTTCTGGCTCTCAATCCTCGATTCTGACTACACCCTAAAGCTTACTGTTTCTGACATGCAGTGCCCCTGAATGACTTTTTGTGAGGCACAGGAGCTGTGAGGCTCAGCTGCTGCACTCCCAGTCACAGAGCCACAAGCTTGTCACCTCATTTAGGAATAAACAGATGCAAATTTGGATTTCAAGGTGCCAACTTTGCTTGTGGTGGACATTCAAACCAGCCTGAGCAGCAGCTATTCCAGAAACACAGCAGTCATCCAATCTCACCCAAGCACCCAAAAGAGTAACTTTTTATTCATGTTCTGTATCTACTTCAATTAGGAGGAAATAAAGAAGAATAAGCTTCTGTTTTTCCTTGTGTCTCACTAAATGGGAACAGCAAACTGTGACATGTTATACATGAAGCACGAAGTTTGGTCGCAACACAAAACGTGCCACTGACGTTGGTTCCAGATTCCCCTGAGCCACTCATGCTCTCCAAGCCAGCAGGACCACTGCATTCTGTCACGTGCTCCAGTTTTGCTGTGCCCTAACTCTGCAGGTGGGATACATCTCATCCAAACCTACCAATCAAAAAATCTGGAGTCTCAACTTTGCTACTGGTTTAGGCTCCTGCTATAGTCAATGGACAGAAAGCTGTATCCAGAAGGTGATAATACACCTGTTTCAGGGCAGGTGGAACTGCTCTCAGGAATGACCTGCATTACCCCAAGAGAAGATGAAATCAAGCCCTTCAGGCATGCAAAGGAACACAAGTTATCATGCTATACTTACTGGTAGAATAAGGTCCTTTGTTTTGAAAGGAATGCCTCCTACTGTCAAATTCAGCTGATACACTCCCTTGTCTAGTGTAAACAGGTCCCCTGAGACAGCTATTTTCATAACTGCATCCCTGTTGACCTTTATAATCAAATTTCTTTCCAGTTCCTCAACAGAGATCTGAAAAAGCAAAATTTCAAATTGAATAATTCAGTATGGAAAGAACTTAGTACCTGCAGCCTCAGCTACAGGACAGACCCCAGAGAAATCCCCAAGACAAAGAAATATTTTCAGTCCCCAAACCTCTTTGTTCACCTTTTAAGTTACATTCCATCTTGATATGTAAATCTACTCTACAAAGCAGTCTGTGATTACTCTTAATAGTGAAGAGATACTACTCAGCTACTTCAGAGCAGTTACATGTGAAAAATGTGACTGGATTAAATACATGACTTTTGTAGATTGTTTTATGCAAAATGTAAATGAAATCATGGCTTAATAATGAGAAACTTCCCATTGCACCTGCAGGTGAAAGGAAAAGCTGGAAAGACAAACAAGATGTCTTTTTTTGGATCAGTGGAAGATAACACAGAAGACTCCCTGATCCAGTCTTTGAATACCAACCCCTGCAAAAAGCACAACAGAGGATGTAAATCTTGAGAGGGTAATTAAAATGTGTAATAGACAATAACTTTTCTCTCAAAAAAGCATATGCAAATTTTCCCTCCATGTCTCTGAAAAGCTACTTCTAGGAAGATTCTATTACCACTGAAATTTTAAAAAAATCTCATCATTTTGATTATAATCAGACTGCATAGACAGGCACTATAAAGCTTCTGTGGAGGGAGAGGAGGTGAAGCCCAAAGCTGAAGCATCAGAGTGATGAACAGCAGATGAGATTCTGTTGCCTTGGGACATGGGTCCCACCACCAACAGGGTTTTCTGTGGCTGTAGCAGAAGACAATCCCAATCCTCCTGCAGAGAAGGAGAAAGGAACACACCTCCCCTATTTCATAATCTTCCCACTCTATGACAGATACTCCACCTACTCATTCTTCATCTCTACAGCTCTGTCTCCTGGGACACCCAGATGCTGCTTCCATCAGTGAGCTGCTGTACAGACAGAGCCCATTATCTATTTCAGAGGATGTTTAGACACGTCCTTCTCTCTCCCTGCTAGCAGGCCAGGTCCTGAGCACCTTTCTCTGCGTTTTGCAGTCCCAAAACTGCTCTTACCAGCCATTCTCAGCTCTTGCTCTGTGGCTGTAACACAAAGGAGGACAGGGTTGAGCAGGTTTGTACCTGGCACTCCCTTTGCATTGCTGTCTTCAGTAATGATGATAAAGTGAATTCGATAGTTGAAAAGATTATTCAGAGACTTTCTTCTTCTCATGAACCTTTTTTCTTCTCTTGTGGATTCCAGTACAATCTGGTTCATATTGCTACAGCACTGTTTACACCTGGTGTGCTGTCCTGTGCCATATCCTACAGGACGTGAACTTATTTGTCTGCAGCTTGCTTGTTTAAAGCAGCACTTACACCTCCAGACTACATTCCATGGAGACACACAAGCCAGTCTCAAACAGGCTTTTTTTGGATATTGGATGGCTGTAAAGCTCATTCAGTGTGTGGGAACATAAGCCCACAGGTCCTGGCAGCCACAGCTGAGCTACACGGGCTGTGTAGCCAAAAACTCACACGGACACCTCTGCTCAGTGTCGTGGTCACCACTGCCCCAGTGCTCTGGGCTCTTGGGCCACAGGGAGCTGGCACAGACCATCTCCCTGCTCCTGGCACAGACAGTGGGCAGACAAAGCACATGGGAATTGGGAAAAGCTGGCAGCAGCAGTGCCCGTGCTGTGAAGAAATACTGCTACTTACAGGGTCACCAGAAATCAAGGGCCTTCTAAAATTTTATTAGGTTGCATAGCAAGTAATAACATAAAAATTAAAAAAGAAAGAAAAAAAGAAAAAATTCTGAGTTCTTAGCTGCATCTGATCTTTAATACAAGCAAACTCAAATTAGTGAAGACTTCCATAAGAGAAGGGGCTAATCCCTGTGGGAATTCTCAACAGATTCCAGTTTAGGAAATTACATTCTGCTTACTTTACAATGCCCTCTGGCTGTTTAAGCTCCTGCTTCTTACAGTCAAAACTTAATTGCTGGTGCACCACCATGACATATAAACCAAAAGAGGAAGCTCTTCAGTAGTTAGCATCCTGATCCAGTTCCCCACTCTTGTGGCAAGGAGAAGCTACTTGCTGCCTGCCACCATGAATTAGGGACATTCAGGAGGACAGTTCTCATAGCTAAAGGTTCCCATATGGTTAGCCATAAGGCATTCAGCATTGTGTTTTGGATTCATGTCCAGGATAGCTCATAGCACATAGCCAGCCTGTCCACTGTTTGCTGAAAAGCAAGTGGACAGCACTGAAAAGTGACAGAGCTACAGTCAGCTGCAGGGTTAGAACCAAATACCAATCTTGTGATTGCTTAACTTTCAGCCCTGACATTTAACAGTGCAGGTAAGTTATTATTTTTGCTAACCAGACTGTGTCCTCAGAGCAGTACTGAACTGAACACTGAAAATAAGACAAAATGAGGGCTGTTTTTGGAAATTAAAAACAAACAGAAGGTGAGTGCATTCTCTACTATCATAATTTCATATGTGCCACTTCATCCAGCTGGGTTACACACTAATAACCACATTAAATTTTTTTCCTGAGGTTTGCTTGTTTGTGTTTTCAATGCTGGTTCAATGCTCATTTCAAAATATCTTAGGAAGGATTAACACCAGCCAAAATACCTAGGCAGAAATATTGGCCTGAAGTTTTGAAAATGCCATTGTATTTCCACTAAAGTATGCAACTTTTGCTCAAAAGATGGGAACACTGCTCGCACTTTTTCATATATTTTGCTTTTAAATACTTGTTGTTTTTCCATCCATTGAAAGTCAAATACTAAAACTGCTATTTTCTCATGACCCATAGGAAGTTCTCTCCAGTATCCAAAGACCTCTGGTTAATATCTAACCAAAACTAAGGGTTTGATTCTGTGCATACTGAAGTCCAGACTAAAGCTCACAACTGCACTTAAACCTGGACTGTGACGTCTGGAGATTGTTGGGGCTGCGCTTTATGGAAAGCGAGGCGACGAGTCCATGCTTACAATGAAATGTGTGGCTACATGTTTTGTAATAGGAGACAGTAAAAAGAAGTCCTTAAACAGGATTTCCTAAATTAAAAACCATGCCAGACAAAGAAAAACAGAGAAATGCAGGAGGAGATAAAATGTAGGAACATATTTATAGTTGTATCAGTCAGCCATATAGATTAAATTGCATTAGAGGGGTGTGACACTAGATATCAAGCAGAAGAGAGCCAAGTATCTCTAGGGTGAAAGCCAGAGATAAGAAAATACAGCAGAAAAAGGAGAAATCATCAGTTCCCCAGCAAACCAGGCAAGGTCCCAGGTCTCAGAGGTGTAAACTATGAAATCAAGAGACTACAGGCTCTTTCCTCCTGCTGCTGTTCATCCGTGAGTAAATCCTTGTGCTTTGGGGAAGTATCAGCACTGCACTGTGTCACTTTGGGAGGCAGTCACCAGAATTACGGCCATTGACCTGCTCCAGGCACATATTCCTGTGCCAGCACTGCATGCTGCTCTCTCCTCCACTGGTGCCATACTATCTCTGCCTCTGGCAGCTGCCCAGCCCTGCTCAGCCCACATACATGGCAGCACCACTGGCTGCAGGGACACCTCTGCCTCCACCCCATCAGTGTGGCTCCTGCCCCACACAGCACCCACAGCTTGGTCTGTACAGTCCCAAAAAGGCTCAGGGAAGGATTTCTGGGGGAATCACACAATCCCTCAGAAAATGTGCAGGGTGCATTGCTGCAGCCACTCAGCCAGGCAATTTCTTTGTTAGGATGATACCTGGGGATAAGAGCCCTGACACTGATAGCTGGCAGGAGATATTTAACTCTTGCCTAACCATGACACTTACTTTTATCACACTGCCTTTCTCCCTGAAGAAAGAAAACACATTTCAGCTCTGTCCCCTCAAACTAATATGGGGTAGTTTGTAATTACCTCATAATGAGTAATTACCTCATAACAAGTATGTTAGCTCCTGTGTTAAATGAATTAACTTGGTAACTGCTGATTTTTGTGACTCCCAAGTCACCCCAGTGGCATCCACTCTGCTTTTCACATCTTCTGTCACCATCCTCTCTTTGCAGACAATTACAGTTGTCATATTTCAGATTAGCAGAACTACTCTTACCATAAAATTCAGTAAGAACTGGCTTGAAGCTATTCTTATATGTAAAGATACAGCATGTCACATATTTTATCTACAGCTTCACTGAACCTCTACAGTTCTCCATTTGGAATCTAAAATTATTTCACTGACATTAAAGGAACTGAACCAAACATCACTTCATCTGCTGGAAACATTACCAAATGTTGGTAGTTGATAGTGAATGTATTCAAGAACTTCTTCATCTATTAATTAGAAACAAATTTTTCCCTACCTTGTTTTTTTCTTTAATGTATAATTTTGAGTTTTTATATACTAAAAAATGTAAACCAGAAAATGATTCACAGTTACCAGTATCTGCATTTGCCTCAAATGTGAGTTAGCTGTGAACTTCCCACCCACTCCCCAAGAGGCTCATCAACTTAAAAGTTAAAAGAACTAATTAAATAAGAAAAAATGAAAAGAGAGGAAAAGGCAGAAGTGAGAAAACGTGTATAAACTGCTCTATGATCTAATGTAGATCATACTGCAGGATGCTTTTCATGATCCTGGCACAAATGGCAACAACCATAACACTCCCAAAATCAGCAGCTGATGTTCTGTGAGATGCCAAGAAGAGCATGAATCCTGACAATCTCATGAGATTGCTGGGATTATGGTATCAATAAAAAGATGCATTAGGGGTTAAAGTGGTGGTGCTGGGTTGACAGTTGGCCTTGATGATGTCTGAGGTCTCTTAAAATCTTTTTTGGAATTCTATGATTATAGAATAGACCCCAATATCTTTACAAGGGAAGCAGCTTATTTTGTATATCAACAGGCCTGAAGACTTTATAAAAAAATATCCTGTACCATAAGAGATTTGTCAAGGCCTCAGAAAATATGAGGCCTGTGACTAAACAAATGAATGAATAAACAAAAGCAACCACCCCCACACACACACACACATACACCAAACACACTTGGGAACTGTCTTAAAAGAACAGATGCAGAGTTCCTTCCCTCTTACTCACTTCCAGCCCTCATGCAGAGGGCATCTTCTTGAGCTGACGTGAAGTCATCCTAGCCCTACTGCATCTCAAAGGCACTGTTTGTGCAAGTGGTTGCTCTGGTTGTGCAAATTAGAGATGCAGTCTATATTACAATGGATATAAAGTATAATTCAATTTATTAAGACAAATATCCCCTTCTCACCTTAGAATGTATAGCATACCGGCATTATCCATTAATTGATAGATAGGTTGGAAAAGCATTTTCTCACGAATACATGAAGTCTATTTGCACTTGATGAGCACATCCCAAATGAGCCAAGAAGGAGTAAGGCCTCGGCAGGGGTCTGGACTCACCGTTTGCCACATGCCATGGCTGATGAGCGGTCCGGTGCTGGTCACGCGGCCGATTCCATTGTATTTCAGCTGCAGCTCGAGCCGTCCTTTGCGCAAAGCCAACACTATCCATGTGCTGTCTTGATGGCCTCCAGCAAAGAAAAGGATACCTTCAGGATCAAAGGTTCTAAAGTCGAACTCAGCCACAAGTCTGACCGCACAGGTGCCAAGAAATAAATTAGTTATGCAGAGTTCAAAAACCACAGAGTACTTTCCATACAGATAGCATCAATTCTAGCAGCTCTAAAGCTCTAAAACATTCTAGCTTTTAATGCAGTCCTGAAAGCCTTAAGATGTAAATACAGCTTTTAAAACATCATTAAGAATAAAGATTACAATACTATATTTCAGTAATTATCCTAACAGCTCTGTGGTCAAGGCTGCCTTTCTTAATTACTGGTTTAGGTAATGTTTAGCCTTACGGGACTTCATAATCCAAGCAAATAATGATGAACATAGGGTAAATTACTATTGTAACAACTTCCTTGCATGCATCAGAGCCAGTCAAAGCGTTTCACTGTCATTCTAAATTGTCCTCACCTCGTCAGTTGTTTCCTTTTGAAGCGCAGCCTGATAACAGGAGTGCCGCTGAACATCCTCCCCAGGTGCAAGGATTTAACACTCCTTCCAACAGCAAAAGGCACACATGGTATGATGTTCTACAATCAAAACACATTTCTGAGTGCTTATTCTCCTCATGCAGCAGAAAGAGAATCAGAGAGTGCAGCAAAGTAAAGGTCTGTTTGCAGCTACCGTAATGAACACTGACATACCTCACATGTATTCATGTCCTGGGAAAGTTTCACTCCCCCTCTGCCATCACAATGACAGGTGTAACTCCCTGGTGAGTTGACACAGGTCTGCTCACAGAGCTTTTCTTCGCATTCATCTATATCTACACAAGACCAGCAAAGAAGAAGAAACTCGGTTTTTTTAAACGTGGTGGAACTGAGAGAATGGCCTGAAGTTGTGTCAGGGAAGGTTCAGGTTGGATATTACAAAAAGGTTCTTCACCCAGAGGTGGTTTGGCACTGGAACAGGTTCTCCAGGGAAGTGGTCACAGCACCAAGCATGACAGAGTTCAAAAAGTGTTTGGACAATGGTCCTGGGCACGTGGTGTGACTCTTGGGGATGGTGCTGTGCAGGGCTGGGAGTTGGACTCTATCCTTGGATCCTTGTGGGTCCCTTCCAACTTAGCTTATTCTGCAAAATCTATTTTCACAGATAGATTCCAGCTGCCCAAAGATACATAGCAAGTCAGTGGGAAGGTTGGAAGCAGAACTCAACTACTTGTCTGCTGGAGCAGAGCCTTAGGCTTTCACTTCTAGACAAGATTCCTCCCTTCAGGCCCCTTCTGCTATGCCTGTACTGACTGGCTCCTGCTCCTTGCAGTCAGGGACTGCATATAAAACCCAAGTTTCTCATTCATTATTTTCTTTCCTTTTTTCTTCATCTATTTTTTATCTTCTTCACAAACATGTGCAGGAAAGCAAACTGTGACAGCCCACGGGGATCTCTTCAGGCAGAGTTTAGCACTTAATGCCCAACAGAACTGGCTGGAGTGTGATTTGAGTCATTACGTTAACTTGGACGAAAGGCAGGGAGCAATGCTGGTTTTGGAATACTTTCAAAACTTACTCTGTTGAGAAAGCTTGCAGCAGTGTAGCAAGCAGAACTGTGCATGGTTCCAGTATATATTAAGTTCCTAGTTCAGAGTAATAGCACAAGACAGGTTTTGAAAAAAGAGCTACCGCTTTGTAACTTTTCTTGTCCTATGAAGAGAGACAGCAACATGCACAGATGCTTCTGAGCTTTCACCAGATCTTGCACTTGTTGAAATTTCAAGAAATCTCAGTACTTTTGCTCATACAGCTTGATTCAAGTCATCAAAGATGACTGCGGACTCACTGAACTCAAAGATGACAGCAAGCTCGATGAACTCAAAGGTGACCGCAAACTGCAAACTCACTCCCAGCCAGAGAAAGGGAACGGAACTCCAGTGTGCAAGCAAGATTAAAAAAAGAAATAGCCTGAAACTAAATTCCTGGGGTTCTACAGACTTAAATTATGTAATAAATGCTAACATATTTGTTGAGCTTACCCTGACAAGTTTTTCTCACATCATCGTACTTGTAGCCTGCATCACAAAGACATTCATACGAGCTTATTAAATTTTTACAATGAGCTTCTCCACAGATGTCTGCTGATGCTGTGCATTCATCTATGTCTGCAAAACAAGCAATTAAACAACACGACTTCAGAGGAGTATAATCACATCACTGTTCACATGGAGTGATCCCTGCATAATTTTGGAAACTGAAAGAATCAGTATCTTTAAGAATCTACGTTTAGGGTTAGCTAACTATAAGAAGTGACTTCAGGCTTCAAAAATTAGTTGGTCTTTTTTAGCTTAAGCCATTAACCACTGTTGGAAAAATCAATGCAAAATTAAACAGGAAAAAAAACCTGTAAAACAAAACAACTACCACAATACCAAAAAGCCCCTCCAATCAGGGGCCTGAAACTGCAGGTTAAAAAAAAGCAACAGGCAAAAACTTAGGAGCAGCAGCATGAATTTTACCAAAACACTGAAGGAGCACTCAGCTTGTGGCACTTCAGAGATTTCTGTTCTGTGTCCTCAGACAGGCAAACAATAAATTTTCATATATTCACAAAGCTAAAATCTAAATCTGCCAGTCTGTAGTGGCAAAGGAGAATTGAAGCAGCCCAATTTGTCACAGAGAACAAGCCATGCCAGAGAGCTGTGGAGTTTCACCATAAAGCAATGAACTGGAACTGGCAGCCCATAAAAAAATCTGTTTTCCTCACATGTTAACTAAAACCCTGCAGAATCTCAGTGTTGACAAAACATTTGCAGTATACCGAGAGTTAAATATTTACTTTTGCTTTCTAGTATGTGTTAAAACTACAATTACACACTGCTCTTGTTGATTTTCCCACGTTTGAGTGAATTGGCTGAGTACCCTACGTAGCTTAGGCTGCAAATCACAACAAGAGGGAACATTTGTGTGTATGCTCATGATGACAGGAACAAACATAAGAAAAGTCAAAATGCAATGATAAATCTGAGCTATCAATAACCACACCTGACAGTAGTCCCAGCAGCTGGAAGGACACACGTTGAAGCTACAGAATGCTTAAATAGTACTGCTCACAGAGCTCTAGGAGACAGTACTAGGGTATGGAACAAATGTACATACACAGGAAAACAAACACATATGTGGGCCCTTTGCCATCCACCTGTCCATGCTGCTGGCAGCAGAGGACAATTCAAAAGTGAAGCTGGCTCTTCTAAATTGCTGCTCCTGTTAGGAAGGGATGCCATGTAATCTACACAGTCATCACTCTTTTGAGTGAAAGTGACATAGAAACAAAATCTTGCTCTTTTTCTTTTTGCTGGTAGCCTTAATAAGCTGTTCAGATCATGTATGCAAATTGTTTAGAAATATGTCATCACATCTATCCCTAAGAGATACATACCTGTTTTTCTCATAAGATGAACGTAACTTTAACAAGCCACCTGTTGTTGAGTTATTGAGTATGTCTCAGCATGCAGCTTCTTAACACTTATAAAATCTCAGTTGCTTAAGTTCTGGTTATGTAAATTCATAGTTTCAATCAGAAACTTCAGGTCCTCACTTTCTGTTCTCAGCTGGTATGTAAAATAGCTGCCAAACTTCTCTAGGGCCTTTCTACACCTATTAATATTGAGTTTCAGTGAATTTGAAATAGCTATCTGTATCTATCTGAATGCATTGGCTGCTGCACACATCCAAATCCAAAAAAATAAAATAAGAAACACACAAAAGAAAAACAAATGGCTCACATACTACAACACTGTGAGACTGGAAAGAATCATAACAACACATCAGGCCAGCACTTCCTCCTGTCAATGTCAGGATATGGGGACTGATCAAGTAAACCAATTTAGCACAATCCAAGCCACAAATCCTCCATGAATCACGCCTGTGCTATGCTTTTGAGAGCATCATGGTCCAACTGCTGACAAGCCCAGGCATGTAGGCTGGCTGGAGCACCCAGCACAACCCCAGTGGAGGGGCTCATGGGGAGTAGAGGAGCTACCAGCAAGTTTCTGCTGGGCTAAGGAGCAGACCAGGACTGCTCAGGGCAACCCAGCTCTCCAAAATACAGACACAAGTCACAAAGCATCCCCCCTGAAGCAAACTGAGAGTCCCAGGAAAGCTTACCTTCACATATTTTGCTGTCTTTAAGAGCATAACCACTGTAGCAGGAGCACCGGTAGCTGCCTAGCTTGTTGAGGCAGAGCTGGTTACAGCCACCATTCTGTGTTCTGCATTCATCAATATCTACATCAAAAGAATGAAAGTGAAAGCTTTTCACATCTGTAAATAATCTACAGGGTGAGAGTGGAATAGGCATTGGGATGGAGAAAGACCAAACAAGAAACATTATTAAAGATGCGACACAGTGATAACAAAAAGCACAAACATTGCATTCAAACTTCATGCATATAAGCTAAAGTTTAACTTACCAAAAAAAAAAAAAGGGGGGGGGAAGGGAGAGAGAAGGATCTGTAACAGAATAATATCTCCTTCACAGCTCTGAGAATACATAGAAGTATCTTTAGTCACTCTGGAGTCAAAGAAGCCTGTTTGCAGAAGCAAACTAGTTATGTATTTTATATCATAATTAAGTACTAAAATTATGCTATGGCCAGAAAGTTCAGGACAAAAGCTTTAAATAAAACAGAAACACTATATTGTTACTACAGAACTCATGAGAATACAGGAAGTTTCAAGTTCACACCTGCTGAACATTGTAAGCTTAACTGTGCCCCACTGAAGTTGGCACCAAAAGCCTGTAAAATCCAGCAGAGCCTAAGTTTCACCCTCAATCTACCCTGCCTGCTCCTTATGTCCTGCTTGTCTATGGGATTCCAGAGTTAGCTGATGGGTAGAACAGCATGTCATGGCATTTTATTAGAAAATAAGAAAATATGTTTCAGACTGATCCATGTCTGAGCTCTCAAAGCCAACTGGATACTGACTGGTCTGCTTTCTGAACTGATTAGATAACATGCTTGAGTGATCCTATAAACCCATCACAATATTTACATGAGAAGGAAAGGCCTGGATCTCCTGCTGCCTTGGTTGCCACAATTCTGGACTGTCTGAATACAATTTCTAGTCATTACTTACTATTGGCAAGCAAAAAAGCAGTGGCCCTGAGAGGAAGACTTGCAGGCAGAAGGAAAAAACACAAATAAACCAGAAAACAAGAGGAAGGAAGATAACTTGTAGAGAAAGCTCTGTGGACAGCTGGAACATCTTGCACAAATAGTTTCTGTCTGAAATTCTCTTTTGAAGTGATCTAAATACACCAATGGAATATGTGGAATAAAGTGGACATAGAATAAAGTCTTACTAGCAAGGAGGCTTTAACAGCTAATTTTATCAGTCTGTGTGTCATCAGACTCAGACCTCAGCTTGCTGACTGAAGGTCGTTGTTCCCACTGCAGGGATGCTAGGATGGGAATATGGGTCAGCTTCTCTGGCTCTATGGTCTGTGAACACCAGGGTTCACAGCAGCAGCCGATGCATTCTGCTTGAAAAGCCACTACTACTCTATTTCTGCTGATGCTTTCGGAGGGGTAGAGCAGAAAGCTGGAGAGCAACTTCTTGGATTACCTTGGAAGACCAAGATGAACCCCACTAGAGTCACATAAAAATGTTGATGTGAAAAACTGCCCGTTTCCCAGACGAGTAAAATGTGTGTAATCCTGTTCAGTTCTGTGACTTTTGAATTGTGCAGCAGAGTATCAGTGACCATTTGAGAACACAACAAAACCCAAAATATCTTTGCTACAGAAATAAAAGATAATAAACCAAATTACCTTTTTCACATTTTTTCCCCTGCCAGCCATGCTTGCATTCACAGTAGAAATCCCCCTTGAGATCCTCGCATTTGACGGTCCCTTCTTCGTGACAAGGATTGGGAGAACACTGGTTTGGCAAATCTGATTTAAACAAGGAATAAAAAAACCAAAACAAAACAGAACAATACACTGAAGTCACTGACAAGCAGGTGTTTCACCCTCATTAGAAGATGGGAAGCTTGAACAGTATTGGGGAATCACTCAAAAATACTTGCAGCTGGCAAAACTATAAGCTAATTCTTAGTTCTCACATGCCAAACAAGGTGTGCCAGGAATTTTGCAGTTGAAGTGGAATTCACTTCATTGCGAAAGGGAGTGAGCTACCACCCCCATATCTGAAAGATACATTCTGAAACAACTCAAAGTAGCTTATTTTTCTACTCTTGCTCATTTTTGAGGGAAAAAAAAAAAAAGCAGCATCAACTAAAGTACTCAAGAAAGGATGAGTACTCTTTTCAATTGTTTTTGGAAGTTCAGCTGAGGATCTTACCAGGGCTGATAGATTTCTAGCGAGTAAAAGTTTATAAATGAAATTTTTTGTTATATCTTTTCTATTACATAGAATGAATATAAAAAATCAATACCCGTATATCAACAGCCAAGGAACAGCAAACCATGAATCCAGTTTACAAAGAGCACAGTGTTCCTATGGGGGTGTTTAAGCCAGATTCCAGGATTTGGCAATGAGTTTTTTCATTGGAAAGAGGCAGGGGAGTAGTAACCACACTTTGGAAACGATCGAAGGAATAAATCACGAAGTATCATGTAACTACTCACCAGCTGTAATCACCTGTCCAAATTTACCTATCCACTTACCTGCACAACACCCAGGGACAGCACTTCACAGAGGTAGCTAAAGGAAGGATGAGAGAATACCCTTGTTTCCACAAAAAAAAGTGAGTTATTAGCTATCATGTACTAGTAACCCGTTAGCACCAGAGTTCTAGACCAGTGGTCTTCAAATACAGGAATGTGTTAACTCTTTCCACAGCTTCAACCAGATAGAACAGTGCAGAAGCTCATTCTGCAGATTGCAAACCTCACCAGTTCAAGAGCCTTTCTTTTCATGTATTTCCTCCCAGCATTTGAAAGTGCCCAGTGTGTACACATTAAGGGAGCAGCAGCAGGAAAGACTTGCACTGGTTTCCATGCACTGGTTCTGCTGAGTCCAGTACAGACTCTTGGTATTCTGAAATAATGGCTTTGTAGCATGGCAGGGAAGCTTTTAGGAGAGGAACTGTTCATAGATTAGCAGCCCCATCCTCAAACTGAGAAAAGTTTAGACTCCTACTTTTGTCAGGATTATTCTACTTCTACATGTCTCTTCTTAGCTTCCTCTGTGTGATCCTGAAAGTCACTGTCGTGACTTTGTGCTTGGAAAGAACTTTAACACTTCCGTGAGTGCAGGCAGTAGCAGCTCTATTTGATGTCTCATAAAGCACTGAACAGCAGTTCTGTTTGCAGTGGCTGTTCCAGATTTCAGCCTCAGGTGGTTGAGGTTGGCAGGCATCTCTGGAGGTCCCTTGTGCCGCTTCCCTGCTCAAGCAGGGCCACCTACAGCCAGTTGCTCAGGACCATGGCCAGAAGGCTTTTGATTATCCCAGGGATGGTGACTCCACAAGCTCCCTGGGCCACCTCTGCCAGTTCTGGTTCACTCTCACAGTAAAAAAGTGTTTCCCAATGTTCAGATGAAACCTTCCAGATGTGCAGAGCTGAGGCAAAGCCACAGCCAAAGAGGCCAGGCCACACAAAACAAAACACAACTACATGGGCTGTCTTAACATCCACCCACCAGAACACCTCCCAGTAAATCACTGCCCAGCTGACACACTGCTGGAGGTGGAGGAGCTGGGGAAGGAGAGACCAGGCCATGAACCACAATAGAGCAAGTCTGCTCAGGATGTGTACCTTAAACAAAATCACATTTTTTTTTTTTTTAGCAGCATACACTAAGCCTCCTAAATATGGCAGTGTTTTCAGTCATTTGATAAGCAAATCAAGTCAACATGGTTATGCACAGCTTATCTGGAATACCCACAATTTCTGATTCTTCCCCTCATACTGGATTCTGACATGCCTTGCAGAGCCAGATGGTAGTAACACTGCCCAGCAGGGTAACAACCCATGGTATAATCCACAGATATCAACCACAGAGATTCCTATCACATCAACACTGTGCTGATGGTTTGCTCCCTCTTATGAGAGTTTGAGAACATAAGACACGCTCTTGAACTCTTCCAGTGGCTTCACAACTGTGAATTCTGTCAATTCTCCTGGCTTCATAGAAGGTGCTCCTGACTGAAACCATTGCAAAAGAAAAAAAAGGAGCTTTTGTTTCCATTCATTTACATGACAGATTTTAGTAAAGCTGTTAAAAGTGCTGAGCATGACCTTTTCATGTGCTTTGAGCTGTGTCTGATAGCACCTATGAAGTTCATAAGTGCAGGCAGAGAATAGAACTACCAATTCCATCTTTGAAATCTGTATGGAAACAAGAATTTGCTTATGCCCACTGACTGTCACTCTGAGTTCATTACTTTGTTTTGTGAATTTATTTTTTGATACTTTGATACAAAATGGTTCCTACTGAAACTTCATCAAATGCTAGGCTGCAAATAATATTGCACTCAGTAATTTAATAGTAAAAAGCAGGCACTTGTGACCTAACAAAAAACTCATTGTGTTTTTTAAGGCCATGTGAAGCTTCACTTTGCAAAAGTCCTGTAGAGTTTTCCACAGCCTTACAGAACCAAATCCATTTCTAGATGACCTGCAGGATCTCTTTTAGAAAAAGATCCAGATATGCAAAGAAAGTATAGGTATCTAAGTGTAAAGTAAGCATCTATCTGCAAAGCAATTATAAATACTCATTGCAGTCAGTGGAGACAGTACAGTAAACAGAGTATGTAGAGGGTCTCAGGTTTCCCCAGAGCAGACAGTTTGGTTGGGGAAATCCTTCTAGAACCAGAGGAGATTAACTCTCTGTTACCTCTGATGGGAATACTGCTCATGTAAGCACCCATGCTGGAAATACCTGCTTACACACTGTATTGAATCCTCTGAATCTGGAGATGAATCCTAGCTGTAACTTCACCTCAAGAGTTTATGAAACTAGGAATCCTCACATATTCTGTATAAGATGTCTAATCACTGTCATACTTAAAATTTCTACCCTATTTCCAGCATAAACTAGTGCAGTTAATCACCCTCCAGCCCTTAGGCTGTTCGGTGTCTTTGTACACCAAGTTAAAAGAACCTTCCACTACCTGGTTTTGAGAAGAGAAAGGCTGTTAAGAAACAAAGTTTAGAAGTGTCTTGCAGGCACAAATCCATAGAGCTACATAGTCTTTTGGCACCATCTGTGAAAAATTAAGAGACACGCTAGAATTGGCCAAGAACAAAGCCTGTCATTCTTCCAAGAGTGTTTCAGGCTCCTTCTCTGTTACTTCTCCTGTGAATTGATGATGGCTAGCCAAAACTCAGCCTTTTTAAAAAGCTTTTAATATTTTAATGGGGGAAAATATTATCATTTTCTTTCCAAACCATTGCATCTGCAATGGGCAGAAATCCCTGAAAACAATTATTGAGTTTTTATTTGTTCAGACTTTTTTATCACTACCCTTTACATACTGCAGCCAACACAGGTACCACAGGTCTGAGAATTCCCTGTTCGAGGGACTCAACATCCATGAGTGATACTGCTGCAATATGTGAGGGAAATTCTTCACATACCACTTATTAACTTTGGAATTCACTCTTAAAAAAGGTTGTTCTAATGCAGTTTATAAATGTGAAAAGTTGACTAAATACTGATCCTGCTTTGGAAGCACTTGTATGAACACATGATTAATTAAACTTATAATTAATTAAACTTAAATCACAATAAAAGTCTGAAAATCAGGGCTAAAAAGAAAATAAATAGACATACATCTATTTTTTTACCATATTTGAACAGCTCACAGGACATATTTAGAATACTTACGCAGTTTTCTACCTTTAGCACTGCTAAGCTTCAAAAGGCAACTAGAAAGGTATTAGAAGAATTCATTAAATTCTCTTCTCTAGTGCTAGTGAAGGACAAAAACCCCTTCACCCTCTATAACGTTATCAGTTTGGCTTCCAAACTGATTTGAGGTTTTAAAGGTAGCAATATTCAAACACAGTCGCATAATACATGAACCTGCTCTCTTAATGTAAAGAAGGCTGACACAAGCCTGATTTGACTTTAAAATTTTCTTGAGGTTCCTTGAGGAACCAAAGCTAGCATTCAAGAGAACAGAAAATGAGGGGCCAAACATAGTGTACAGCCTTATGGTACCTCCTATTTCTTGTCCCTCTTGCTTCTCATATTATTCAAACCTTGGGAAACTGGTGGGAAAGAAACTTGCACCATAAAATATCAAAGCACTAAGACATGACAGCAAGATGGCATTAGGTTATAAAATAGGAAAGATTTTGTTTAGTGATATAGAGTCTTAAGCCTGGAGAATAGGAAGAGCAGTATTGAAATATTACCAAAAATAGAGATGGCTGACCTAGTCCCACACCTTCTGGTAGAAAGAGAGAACATTCAAATGCAATATAACAACCAAAAATGCTTACTATGAACACACGTAAGGAAATCTGGATTTCTTGTATACGGTGACCCATATTTCTTAATACAAGCTGAAAAACAGAAAATGAAATTGTTATTGTTACTGTGGTAAGGGACAGCTGTTCAAAGCACATAAAATTATACCTGGCCTGCAAGGATTTGGAAGGTGGATGTAAAATCTATCCAATATTATCATCTCCCAGATGCCTTAAAATTCTGAAGTTCATTAAAATCTTTTCACTTTGATGTACAGCAGTTAAAAGCCATTAAAAGAGGATGATCACTTAACCAGGCACTACTACAATTCTAAAGCTGTGGTAAATAACTACTCCAATTTGACCAAAGGAACTTCTTAAAATATCTGAAAAGCACATGTTTTTTTCTCCCACCGTGGCATTTGTCATCTAAAGTACAACATTATTAAACACTAACAGAAAACAGTATGCTGCCATGGCTATGATACACAGTCAATAGAATAAGAGTAGTTCAATCAGGCACCTTCTTTTTCTTTTTTTTAAAGGAGATTAGTTAATAACTAAATTAAAAAGGGGGAAAGGTAGAAAACTACAAATTATGTCATAACACTGCAAGTCACAGATATATATGCAACATCAAGATTTTAACATGGAGAAAACACAGAAAGCATCTCTCTCTGCAAATTTAGGCATAAGTAAAAACACACACCTCAAAGTACAATAAGGAACATAAAGTCTATCTGAAAAGCTAGCAATATATGTTTATTGCAATCAGATTTCTATCGCTGTCCTTAGCAGAGACTTCAGCTGTGACAAACTGCAGTGTTAGGCATATACCAGCACTCCCACAAAGTGAAAATAAAAGCTGCAACTCACCTAAGTATTTCGGGTAAAAATATTCCTGTAGAAGGGAAAAAAAAAAAACAAAAGCAAAGATTTACTGAATCATATTTGCTTCTATTGTCATGCTATTTAAGAGCTGCTGTTACTTTAATGGTTTTGTTTAACAGTGCCAAATACCTAATTTCCTTTTATTCAGAACCAGAAGCAGCACAGTATTATACACGTATTATGTCATTTGAAAAGGAAAAAAAACATTAGCTCATCTCAATGTATTTTTCGATGTCAGCTAATCTGGTCAGTGCCTGAGCATCAATACACCCTCCAAGAGATAAAGCTGCTGATGGCATGAGATAGGGAAAGGAATTGGAATCTAGGGGCAAAACCCAAGAGGGAAGGGTACAGGATCGTGGAGTCACCCTGTGCCTCCTCAAAGGCATTCTGCTGATGCCATGGCCAGCACATGAACACCACAGCCACTAGAAAAAGTACCTTTTGCTCTTGCAAGGAGCACCCTGCAACTCAAACAGCGCCCATTGCTGTACCACCCACACATCACATCCTGGATACTCAAAGAAGGGATCAATGACACTTTGCAAGAGGGGGAAAAGTTGATACCCATGACTCTAAAACCAGACTGCAAAGGACTTTGCCATTTCTCCTGTGCTACATGGTCATGCATTACTGTTCCCTACTTTCCATCAACAAAGTGTAGCCATACAGTGAGAGCAGCATCATTTTGCTGATGTGCTGTGACTCTAACCTTGCATGGTAGAATAGTCAGCCTGGTGAGGCCTTGCAAGTCATAGGGCTGCTTGCACCAATATAGGGAAACAGCAAAAAAATGCAGTTGTGCTGCATGGAAGAATGGGAGATTGGCTGAAGCTGACAATTGCATCACATTATTAACAAAATACAAAACTTCATGGCCAGGGAATAAGCACTTTTTTTCCAGCTTCATGCTGGTTTTCATAATATATAAGTCACTAATTCAAGTGCTTTTGAAATTGTAATTTGGGCATTAAATTTGGGAAATTTAATTAATTTGGGCATTAATTTGGGAAAACTTCTGAATTGTATCAGTGCTTAATTTTTATTTGTTTAAATAAACCACTTCTCAGCGAACTATGAAAGCATATGCACAGTATAATTATCTTTTATGTAAGAGAAGCAATTTCCATATAACACTATCTTCAGTGACATTAGGACAATAAATACCCTGTATTTGACAAAATTGAATTGGTCTATACAATGTGCAAGAGAATAAACTATTTTATCTTCTCTTTTTATTGCTTGGATGCTTGGATTGGATCTATACAGGCATGTATAAACAACAGAGACAGGCACACACCATGATTCAGTTTGATCTGGACTGTCCAGTGCAATCAGTGATGCTGCTGTCATTTACCAGAAGAATCAATTGCTTCTGGCAAATATGCTCCAGTTACTGAAATGCACCAGCCTAAATTATGAAAACGTCATCAAGGAATTAGAAGCAGCAACTTATGTTAATTTTCAATTCTGACATGAGGGTGATAGGCTTGGCATCTTTTGGGGTTGAGCTTTGAAACATTTCTTCAGTTTGAAATGTAGTGATGAGCTCAGAACCCACTATGGTCCTTGTTCCCCCCCTTTTTATTTTTTTTTTAAGGTTTTGTTTGGAAAAGACAAGTCAAAAAATGCAGTCAAAATAAAAACAAATCTAAGCAGTCTAAGCATTTAGATGTATGCCCTTTTGTGCTATAACCACAAACTGAACTTCAACCAGCACTTGAGGAGAAAAAGATAGGGGCATGTAATAAAATATTCCAAACATTTATTTCGTTATTTCCCCTTTATTCCATGTACTTCACAAGAATGTGCAGATGTATTTAACCACCAACAGGATAATCCAGACTCTGGCAAGAACAACTGCTTTGGCACTCACAGGACAATGAATAGGAGCTTTCATATTCAAGGCTATCAGCCTAATTGCTCCATGTCAGTGGTGGCAAAGGCATTTTCTCCTTGACCTCTGATGAATGAGCTGAGTGCTAGAAAAGTGGTATAGAATTTACTTTTGTAAAAGTAACTTCCAAATTCAAACTGACTGTGTATTGATTCAATGCCAGTTGAACAGCAGATAAGTGAAACTCCAAGGTATTGTACCACCCCAAGCTTCATTCCACAAAGTATGTAGCCAAATGATTAAAACAGGAGGCTATTAATAGAAATTTAACTCTTCTTTTCCTGTCTTTCTCATTTGCTTATGTTATACAAAAGCACTTGCTGGTCAGTAGCACTTCTCCAGGTTTACAGAACCTGCTGATACTATCATTCTAAAATAAAGACACATGTTCACAAGTTCTAACATTATTTATTCTTGTATGTTTAGCTTTTAATTTTTTCCATACTCAATTTTTCTTACAGTTGGCTTCTGTAAATACAATGACAATGTATTTACATTCAGAGAAAAGAAGAATGAAGAATGAGATCTTACACCTCAAGAAAATGTACCTGCTTAAACTGCAGTCCCTTTTAAAATACTGATGAGAAATTTTCTCAGTTAAAAATTCAAGCTGCACCTAACCTGATACAGATACTGATTATTTCTCACTTGAGCACTCAACCCTTCAATATCTTTTCATAGATATCTATGATATACTAAGGTACTTAGTACCTGTGATGTACTAAGGTTTAATGACCCCCAGATGTCAGGGAAAATGAAAATCCTATGCAGGGTTAGGTCCCTGTTAAAAGTGTGCAACTAACCTTCTTTCTACTAGAAACGCTCAATTGTATTTTCAGAATTCTACAAAAATGCCAAAAGAAATGCTTTGAGGCTTGCTAAGGACGAGTTGGCAAAGATTCTCTGTTACTATTTTTCTGATTTCTCAACAAGCCACCTTCAATTTCAGGCTCAATAAACTTCTCACCATCCAGAAAGTCACACATTGTTCACAGGATCAAAACACGGAAAGTTATTTAACTGTTACCACTAGGGTGGCAAAAATCACCACAGAATTATGTAAGTGTTAAATTTTCAGCTCAGATTCTTACAAAAAAGGTCAACATTTAAGTGTGGTCAGGCCTTCCCCTTTAGATTTGCTTCCTAATTACTGCTGACAATAAAAGCAGGAGCAATTGGCTTTTTAAATAAAAAGCTATAAAAAAATTCACGTTGGACATAAACATCCCCTGGACAGGCTGCTGTGCAGATGCTGACCTCACCAAGCTCTCTAACCCACCTCTCCAGAAGTAATGTCCCAGTGCAGGTAAAAGGAAGACAAAGGCTGCAGAAGCTCCCACCTCCACAAGAGGTCAAACATCACAAATGTGGCTTCAAAAATTCCAACATCTCTGACTGTTCCCACCAGGAAATCTTCAATGTATTTCCACCTCTCTTCTTTGTGACCCACCAAACTTTCTGTCTGTCTGGTTTCCACGTATCAAGCAGTAGGGCTGGGATGGCAGAAGCTACAATAGTCAAGGACACTGGCAGCCTGTGGTGCCCTGAATGATCCTTTTGTAAATGACATCTTTTATCTGCTGCCACTACAGGTCAAACATGTAGTGTGAGCTAGACACCAGAGTTGTCACCCGTGAGTTACATGCCATGTGCCACCCAAAGTACAGCTCAGCAGAGATCTCAGGTAAAGAGGAAGAAACAGGAGAGACTGGGAAGTGCCTGACATCTGCACATCTCCACCCTTTCAGTGAGGTGGAAAGCACGGCATCAGGCCAGTCTCCAGGCAGGTCCTGGCTTGCTTATTTCAGCTCAGTTCCACAGACCTTTCTCTTGCTGCCCAGGAGAAGAGCTGTGCATTAACAGAAAAGATTTAAGCTCTACAGCCCACAACCCTTTCACGCAAATATGTGTACATGCTAGAAGTCTTCTGATGCATTAAATGCAATTATTTGCTTGCACAACAGTGTTGCAAAATGTAAGTGCAACACTGTTATGGAAACAAAAATGCATGCTTTTGTTTCAAGGTAGAGCAACACCAAACATGGGCATAAGAATTCTGTTCATGGGGCTAAGGTGCTCCTCTCCCACCTGCAGCTAAATTTTACTATTACCCTGATAAAACACCCACTCAACACTTAGTCTGGATACCTAGGAGAGTGTAATTCTAAAAGTGTCCTCAAAAAAACCTAACCCAAGCAAACAACCCCCAAAACTCTAGCTTGCTCATTTTTATGAGTTTGGCTTTTTTCCCTCCAAACGATAAGAGCAGTTTCTCTGGGGCCACCCCCACAACACCTCGCATTGAAACAACTGAGGAGAACAGCAACATTCACACTGTGGAGTGGAAGGGGCAGAAACACCTAGCCTCCCTGCCAAAGGAAACCTACATTGTGACTGGGGTCACCATCTATTTTCAACTCTATGGCCAAAGTCCATAGTGGTACAATCCAGAAGTTTGTGTAATTACACCGGGTATGCATTAGCCCTGCTGCATTTTTAGAGAAGATGGAAAAACAGCAAATCAGAACAGGCGTTAACATGAGTCACTGTATAAAAATAGCGCTTCTGAAAACATAACAATGACCCTGTCGACACCAGGAAAATGTTCTCACTGTTGCTTTACTTGAAAGTAATTGGTAACACTGGAGACCTCAGAAAAAAGGCCTGCTTACTGCTTCTGTTTATTTTACTTGAGTGCCAGGTCAGGTAAGACTGTAAGGCACGGAATCTAATGAAAATCATGTTTGAGCTCTAGAGGCCACAAATAAAAGACGTAGTTTATAGGCAGGTTGCTTGTGTTTCTGGACATCTGGCTCTTGGTGGCCCTGCTTGGGCAAGGAGGGACCAAAAGGCCTCCAGAGGTGCCTGCCAACCTCAACCAGTCTGTGATTCTGTCACTGCAGACTACTGCCACTAGCACTGGAGCATTTCACTGGCTTGTGTTAGCAACGGTGATTTCTAAAAAGCACTTTCTTAGTTACCTAGTTACATCTAAGAGAGTAGCAACAACTCCCACATCATGCCCTTTCCTCATTTCCATATAATGACTCTCCCTTTTCCTCTTTCCTTCAGGGCTGAATGTTTGTCTTGGACATGGCCAGACCTCATTTATA